CTGTTGAACCTTATACCCTAAATCCAGGGGTTTCCTGGTATGGGTGGTTCGCCTTCCCTCTCCATATACAGGTTAGGTCATGCAGTGTGCGTTGGCTGAACGCTTCGGGTAATTTATCCCGTGTGTTTTGCCACGCATGAATCATGACATAAGGCTCCCAGCAGAAGAGAGTAGAAGGGCTGTAGCTGTGCTTGCTGTCGTTGAGGGTTGCTTCTCCTCCCCTGGGTTGGGGTTTCCTTTCCCCGTCCCTAAGTTTCGGGCAGACTTGACAGCCAGCCATGGGCCATGTGATTTGCCGCCTGCTTTACTTGGTGCTCTGCTGGTTGCTCTTTGGTTCCACAAAAGCTGGTCGTGATGACAACGTGACGAGGCCTGGTTTCTTTACAGCACCAACCAGCAAAGCACCTCCAGCACGGGCCAGGGCACAGTACGAGGCTATGTTGGAGCACCTGATTACTCAGGATGCAGATGTCGCTGCCCTCTTTCCTCCACAAGATATGGTGCAGGCGATGGAGCAGGAGGATGGTGCACCGAACAATCAGCTCCTTGCACTTGAGGGCTCCTCATCAGGCGACGATGGCTACCCTGGATGCTCCTGCCCATATGGGAACTGACTCTGCCACTGCCACTGGCCGGCCGTGTCCACCGCCTGTGAAGATGTGCAAGCGGTAACCCAGGACATGCTACGTCAGCTTCAAGAAATGGGCACAGTGGAGCAACAGGCTGGAATGGCAGGCCCACGTCCAGGTCTACTAAAATGTGAGACCACGGGCGAATGGCACTTCCTAAATCCGTATGGTGGTCTGACTGCACTGGTGTATGGGGGCACCACGCCTCCGGAGGTCCCCTCTGCAAGCTCTGGCAGTGGTCACGCTACGCTCACCAGGGACCAAGCTGATGTACCTGCCTCCCCGTATCGCAGGAGACGGTCCCCAAGCGAAGACGTTTGCCACGCCCATTGCACCTACGAGCACGAGGCGGGATCCTTGCTCCACACAGCCAGGCATACCACACTAACCAGCGGCTGTTCACTCGGTTGCAGGACACCCACCGGCACGACCCGCAGCTCACAGGGCAGCTGAAGAATAGGTGGACTCCTCAGGCCCACCCCATAAGCCGTTATATCCCCATCACTTCACGTGTGCAGGTCCGACATGAGCATCGTGGGCATTTGCGGCCACCGCACCCCAGGCGGATCTTTACACAGCGCTGGTCCTTGACATGTTGCGGACGACCAGAGCACAGGCAAGCACTGTACCTTGATCTGCACCTATGCCAGGGTATGCGGACACCGCACCACAGGCAGGGAACCAGTGCTATGCTTTCATTCCCACCCACGTTCGACTGCGCTCGCTGTTGCCGTGTCTGCCTTGATCAGGCTGGCTATCTGTGGGATATGCGGACACCGCTCCCTTGCAGGACCATGCACAGGATCACAGTGAGAGCCGAAGTTGCACACACTAGGAGTAAGACTGTCCTGCAGGATTATACAACACTGTGGCCACTGGCTGAAGCCTCGCACTTTCGGTACTGCTGGCAAAAAGACAGGCCTCCTCGCACTGAGCATACCTTTCTCTGCCACTTTCATTCCGATTGCGCAGCTCTTGATGTGGACCACCGTGCCTCGCTGCCGGAACTAGGTTGGCTCTGGGTTTTGGATAGGCTGGATTCTGTGCTTGCACCTGCATACCGTGATCTTTGCCTGAACCTTAGATGTACTCCTCACCTCTCTCCTTTCACACATCCTGGCCTCCCATGTCCACCTCAGGTTGATATGCTGGCACAGGTGTTTCAAGGCTGGAGAGAGCTCACCTGCCTTCGCCAATGGGTACGTATCTGCTTTCTAGCCTGGGCGTCACTGCGAGCCTCAGCCGACTCTCATGGGCATATGTTACGAGTCGCAAGTGACATCACAGAGCCTGCACCTGAGTCTCGAATCCGAATCACGCTCATTTTGTGTGCCTCCCCTGCTGGACTCACAGATCAATCGAATCAAGCTCCAGCTTTTGGGACTCCGGCTCAGGGTTCTGGTATCAATACTACACCGCCCAATCACATGGTGAGTCGGAATGTGGGAGCTCGACGTCTGCAGGACAATCCCACTGCGAACCCCAATGTGGTCACCTCTTCAATGCGCACATGGCAAGAACAAGTTGCCAGAGAAGTCGACGATGCAGTTGCTACCATGAGCCCTCCTGAACAGGTAAGTGTTCTGGCACAGTTGCATGCCACCTTGCGGACCGGTCCACCAACGGGGTTACATAGCCCCACTCTCAGTCATTCCTATGCATGTCGACGTCCGTACACTCTCTCTGAGATGACATGCAGGCTAAATGGATGCTCTGTGCCCACGGTACCTGATCGACCACTCACGGCACCTCCACGTCCTGGCTCCTCACAAACGGAGGATTTTGGTGGTATGTTACCGGATATGCTGTATCCCAGTGAAGCTAGCATGTATGAGTGCTTGCAGGGTCTGCTTGCAGTAATTCCATATCAGAGGGAGCGACATGTGCAGCTCCTGATTCTGCTGGCAGGGAAAATGCACCTGTACCTTGGGACATACCCACTCAAGTCGTCATGCATGTGCAGTGCTATCAATCCTTGGCTGTTGCAAGTGTCGGCTCCTTGCTGGCCATCAGCGTGCACTCAAATATCCCTCACGCTGGAGGTGTTCACATGGCCTGCCACACCTGTGCTGCGTCAAGAGCTGTGGCATGCTGAAGCAGGCCGGAGCGATTGCTCATGTCGGACTGCCTGCCTGCACAAGCGTCTAGCTATCCCTGCCATCAACCATGGCACTGCCCCAGCACTCCTGCAACGACCGACCGTACACTTCGGCTCAATACTTCAGCATCCATGTAGCACCTGGAGCATTTGCTGCGCGGAGGTGCGCTGCACATCATGGCAGGGGACGAAGCAGAGGATCTCCTACCAGAGCCTCCCTCGCCAAACTCAGATGATACTGAGGCACTTGATGATATCACGGGAGTACCTCACCCTAGGAGATGGAGGGACATACTGCGAGAAGCTGGCGAAGCCGCCACTGAAAGCAGCACGGTACCAGTGCCGATGGAGACCAGCCATGGGAGCCGCACCCGGTCGACTGATGTGGAGGCGGAGAATGGCACCACTGAGCCCTCCAGTTCCTCACGTCCAAGGCCCAAGCGGCGACTGGTTAGGCATGCGGAAGCTGGATCTGGCGAAGCAGCAGGGGCGGACACTGTTGACCGATCAAGAAGTCCCGTCCCTGGGGGACCACCACCGCCTACAGTGGACCAGAATTGGAGAGGCTTCCCAGGATCCAACCGGCCTCCCTCAACGCTACGTCCACGAGCGCCTGCTGGTCATGACACTGCAATTGTGGCTCCGAAAGGTCCCGCCGGACCACCGGCACCACGGCCCCGACCTCTGGGAACGTTTGGGCTATGCCAGCACCGGCTGGCCCACCTGCACCGGTGCATGCACCACCAGGTCCGGCGGGACCTCCGCCGCCGACTCCATACCGTCCACCTCCAACAAGACCTACGGCTGGGGATGGGACGAGACCAGCAGGCACTTCGAACATGGCGAGACCGCCTCCAAGGGCACCGAACCTCACTGTCCGACCACCCTCCAGGCTACTTGTCCAAGCTCTGCCATCGCCGCACATGGCCACCGTTCATTCACAGGGGTCGTACACGCTCTTGCACACCAATGAGGCCATCTGGATCTACCTTCAGCCGAACACCAATGCCGCTGATACCTCCGACGCGTCGGCTGCTTCATCCTAAGAGCGCCTATGATGATGTACAGCAGGACATGATAGCTTTTGGACCAGCTCGGCCTGCCTCCACGTCTGTACCACGCCTTTTTACCGCTCGAGCACTGCTACACTGCACCAGGACAAAAGACACTCTTGTAGATACTGAAATAAAGCGTCCTGCTGGCCACACAGAGGGAAGCTGGCGTCCTGATGCCTGTCAGGTTAATTGGCGATTCCTGTACTGCATCACACGTCTTCACTGCTTCCCTTGAGGACAATGGCCACGTCCTTGGGATACCCGGTCATACCTGTCTGGCTGTGGTACCAAGATGTGCGAAGCACACCCCCGTGCCATGGGAGGTCACAAACGCTGCAGCAAGCTGCAGTGCAGCCCACTCCATACTACGAATACTGCTGTTCCCGGTCCCAAGCCCGGGAGGCGCGAGTCTATGCATCGAGTGCTGTGTCATGACCTGTCCACACGATGCCCCACCACACTCGATATGACATACTGTAATTCAATCGCGCAGGAGCCGAGGGTTGGGGGCTCTGCAGACCAGCAACCCCCTGTAGTTCATCACATGACTACAGCTCATGTCCCACAGAAGGGGACAAAGCACAACGGTCAGGCTACACACCTTGGCTTCCTTGACTGGACTGCCGAGGCCGAGGCCACCGGGAATCTCATCCCCATGCTGCATGGTTTTGTAATTTACGCACTCTACCCCTTGCATACCTTGATGATCGACCAATCGCTGTTCTCATCATTGTCTGGCCCTGCTCTCTCAATCGGTGAACTTTTGCACGGTGACTCAATCTTCGAGTAGCAGAACTGTGTTTCAGGTCTGCCTCCCTGCAGGGGCAAGCGGTCACCGCTCCCCGCTGGCACGCTCCACACTTACTTTGTCCACTCCTTATGTGTCGCTCGTGTCCTTTGAGATGCTGGCAGCTGACCATACTTCTGTTTCAAATACATCCAAGTGAGTCAGTCTTGTGCTCATTAGGCGCGAACAGCTCCCTCCACTGGCTATGGTTCGATGCGGCAGGACCCTTGCAGTCACTGGGCGCACCGCTGCTTATAGACACGGTACAAGTAAGCTTGATGTGCCCTGCACCCACCACCCTTCTCAGCTCCACAACCACGTTGGCTCAACTTGATCAGGGTCTCCCTAGTGGGTCAGTTCTCCATAAGACATCTGGCACACCTTACCCCGACCATGTGCAATACTCATCATCCCACGCTCGGCCCAGTGACATGGGTCGCAATGGACCGTCGCCCTCGGCCAAGCTTAAGTCTTCCAGACGGCCACCAACGCAAGGTGGGGACGACCATGCGGGCACGACATCAGCACCGGCCAAGGCGACTCCTGCCAACCAGGGTGAACAACAGGCCGACAATGGCTGGGGCACAGCCTGGACTTGGGAGACGCGTGCTGCGAACTGGAATAACGACTGGAGGGCTGCACATGCAACGAATGCTGGCTGGTGGACAGGACAGTGGAATGCACAGTGGGATCAAAGGCAGTGGACCAGCCGTGTGCCACCGCCCCCACCTCCACCTCCAGTGAAAAGACGTAATGTCACCTCTGCTGAACACACTGCAAGCCAGCAAGAAGGCACTGAGGCATTGACTGCTAGGGCAGGATCCAGTCAGGATCACGCCATGCCTTCCCAGCAATCTTCCTCGACTAGTTCCGCGGCCCCTGTATGCACTCTTCCAACGGTCAAGGAAGAGCAGCGCAACTCCCCTGAAGAGGAGCCGGACGAGCTAGCTGCTGATGAGAGCGTCAAGGCGGACACCGCCCGCTCTCTGCATGCAGGAGCTGAAGAGCACAGATCTGGAGTGGCACTGCCGCCTGATTATACGGTCCTGACCAAGACGGACCCGGATGAGGCATCACCTGGTACCGCCTGTGCTTCGTCATCCCAGCTGCTCATCCTGCCATCACAGGCCACGATGAACGCGCCTCCCAGCTCCACCTTTACAGAAGACTTCACCGCAGAGACGGCCCCCTCCCCTACACAATCCCAGCTACAGGGCCTGCCGCTGCAGCATCTGCCTCGTCAGGTCAAGGACGAGTCCCTCGAGTCTGAAACACAATCATCTTTTTCTGAGGCACCACCTTGCATGGCAGAGATTGCAGATCCAACGCAGATGGCTTCATACCCGCAGACGACACTACCAGCGCCACAGGTGCCGTCTCTTACCCCATGCAGACTGGCACCAGCTCTGACACCTCTGCTGATGAGCTTTTGGAGGAGAACAAGCTGACGTCGCCCATACGGCAAAGCAGCAGCGAGGTGGAAGGGGCGGACCCTCGATTGTGCCCCGTCGTTGAAACGACGCGGACCTCAGATCTCTCGCCTACCTTTCCGGCCGAAACTGACGAGACTTCCCAAGATGGTGTGATCTGCCAACCATCGCCTCCAGAGGAGCCACAGACAGGCAAGTCTACCAACAAGATCCGGGACTGGCAAACTGATGGCCCCGTTGGTGACTCGTCCTCGCCGTCTTCAGATGTCACCATTCCCGCGGCACCTGAGGAGGCGACCTTGCCAAATGAAGAGGTCCACCTGGCATTGACTACACGCACCACGAACAAGATGCCGAGATTGCACCCACCGGCCGCCGGTCAGAAAACCGGCTTGCACTGCTGCTGCCTGCATAGCCTCATGCCCTGGCTCAGTGTCCCCCTTAACACAGCATCGTTCGTGCAGGGTGAGCATGTACCTCACATGACCCTCACCGTTCATTGGCTGGGACAGGACACATCCTCGAGCACCCGCTGGAACAAGCCCGAACCGTCCTCAGTTAGTGCAGCTTACCTTCCATGGGGCAAAATGATGCGAAGTCACGCCTGGGCGCGCTGGAAGCTTCTATTAAAGGCAAGACGCGTCACCCAGCGATCTCTCGCTGAAGCTGCAGAACCGCTGGAACCTGAGACTACATATGCAGCATCAGCCAACAAGGGTCGCCACCCTAGTAACCACAGAAGTTCGCACTCCAGGCTATGTGTGTAGCCAGTCGCTTCGGAGTCGCCACATACCTCGGTCGCACCTTCACTGCTAAGCAACTAGGAGCACTTTATCAAGCTGAGCTCAAGCACTGGCTGCATATCCAGGATGAATGCACTCGGCCGGATCTAGTCATCATTACGGAAACGCACTGGCCAACCACGATGGAGTATCAGGCCACTGACTGGCAAGCTGCGCATACAGGAGAGGGACATTCCCAAGGGGGCATCCTAGTGCTTGTCCACAGCTCAGTGTGAGTGCCCGGCACATGACATCAGATACGTAGAGAACTTAAGCCTGGTCGATTGCTGCATGTTCGCATCTCACTTCAGAAGCGACCTGCCATTGATATCCTCGCTGTATATCAGCACGCATGGAACCCACAGGGAGGAGACGGAGACCGACAGGAAAGAATCAACAAACTGCTGGCAAATCGATCGGATCTCTGGGATCGCATCTCTAAGTGGACTCGCTCCGTTCCGGCTCGGAATCTCCTTCTCATTGCAGGTGACCTCAACTGTCCTCTACAGAGGGAAACTATTCACGTAGGTAGGGGTGCCCCTAAGCTGCCAGTGGGACATCACTACAAAGACCAGTTTCGCCTACAAGACCTGCTGCGGGATCATGGATTGTGTGCACTCAACACATGGGGCAAAACAGGCCCTCAATCAGTTACCTTCAAGCCGCTCCAGGGCTTGGGCACTCAGATTGACTTCTATCTGATGAAATGCAGACAAACCACGCCCCAGGCTCTTTTGCGCACGCACCTTGCTTGACTTCCCACTCTTGCCTGAAACTGGGATGTACCACCTCCCAGTTACGGCATGTCTGCCTTTTCCAGTTGCACCGCGGAAAGCCGGTGAGAAGCAGGGCAACTCTTTAAAAGCCACGCAGGCTCTCATCAACAAGTACCCTACACTCCTCCCCACATACCAGGCCCAGTTACCAGATCACCTAACGTCGCAACAGGATCTGCCAAAGAGCATGGCCGATGCATGGGCCAGTGCACTGGATCAGTGCTGTGTCTCCCTGAACTGATCAGAAGAGCCCGCGAAATCGACTGATTCACCTGAGGTTGTCCACCTCTGGCAACACCGGCAAGAGCTGCGTGCCCTGCGGCAGGAGCTCGCTCACAATCATGACACCTTTGCGGGAACTCTTGCTCGACAGACCCACAAGAGTGCTCGCGCCAGACAGGCACTGTCTCTTCTGCTCCGAGCTTGGCAAAGGGCTATTCAATGTGCGAAGCAAGCAAAAGAAATTCGCAAGGCCAGCAGACTCCGAAAGAAGCAGCATCTAGATGAGCTCATCATGGAGGCCCGGAACAGCAACAGTCCTATGACAGCTGTGCATCAAATTCTGAAACGCTTCGCACCTAAGGTCAGGCAGAAAAGGCTGCAGCTTCGAACCAGTCAGGGCAGCATCCTCACGCCACAAGAGGAAATGCAACAGATAGTGGGACATTTTAAGCAGGTCTATCGACAGCCAAGCCTTGAGCCACCGGGCAGGCCTGTTGATCAGGCTGTTGTCTTCGACCCACATGCCTTTGTGGCCTTCAGCAAGCTGCCTAACAAGGCCCTTCCCTTACATTTCTTGCCCAGCCCCGCTCTGGCGCGCCACGGCCCACCTTGCAGCACAGGTATTTTAGCAGACTCTGGAAGAAGCTCGTCGCTTCCTCAGGCCTGGCATGAGACACAAGTCGCACTCATCCCTAAACCATCTAAGCCGCTCACTTCTGCTGACTCGCTGAGACCGATTTCCTTGCTGTCGCCGATGGCCAAAGTTCTAGCTAAGCTGGTTGCGGACGAAATACGGCCCATAGTTTTGAATGCTGCACAGCACATCCCGCAATTTGCTTTCCTAGAAGGACAACAAACTTGCGACGCCATAGATAGGGCTTTTGGTCACTGCCGAGAAATCCGAGAGCGTAGACAAAACGCTACGGTCACTACACGTGACAGAAGGGCAGGTAAAACTGCCCAAACAATCTCAGGAGGCATAACGCTTTCTCTTGATTTACGTAAAGCCTTCGACAGCATCCCCTGGAAATGTCTGCAGGAATACCTAGTGCACTTTCAGATACCTGCCTCTGCTGAAGGAAACCCATATTCCCAGAGCCGCAAATTCTTCCTGGAACCCATGGTCCTTGTCCTCCGAAATTCTCCAGCCAAGCAATGCAAAGAATCCACGCAGAACTCGTTCCACGTGGACCTGCTCCTCCTATCTACAGATGTTGACGAAGTCGTCGAAGAAAGTGCGTCATCATGAGCTTAAGGTTCTTAACGGCTAACCACCACAAGCTATACGCTCTCCTCAGGTACCCATACACAGCCCTGCTGGCACCAAACGGAAGCGCATACATCTGCCTCACAACACATTTGGCTTCTGCAGGGCAGAAGAATGCAAGAAAGGCAAACATCAGGCCTGAAGATTCGGTTTTCTGCACGGTCTCATTCAGAAGGGAGGCGCTGCAGTTGTCAATCACCCTAAGCCGATCCTTCTGAAAATAGCAAAGCGCCTGTTAACCACTGCATCTAAGGGCAAACCAGCTGGAGTCCAGCAGATCTGATAATGGCTGGCATTGAAGTTAATGGCCTCTTCCAAAACACTTGGCAGCAAAGCGACAAAAGTACGAGGATGCCTCTTGGCCACGGCTGCTCTTGCAAACTCTTGTGGTTCGAAGGCCGCGATGCAAGGCTGAGAAGGCGGTGTAACCTCGACGGTCTGGGCAACGCGCCACGCAGACCGCAAGAAAAGGCGGATAAGCGCTTTCTTACTCGTGGACCAAGTGTGGAACGGTCAGCAAATGCCGCAAAGCGCAACTCACCAGGACAAGAACGGGCAAGGAAGGCGAAAGAGGGGGTGGTTGTAGGCTATGGCCGTCTCATGTGCTTACATGAACATGCCAGGTTCCTTTCAAAACTCCAGGGCACACTGTCCTTGCAGGGCAAGGCATCAGACAAGGATGCGCCTGGCACCATGCTGGACGCTTTACTCTCTTTATCTTGCATCCAAACTTGACACTGCTGCGCCCCCAGCACTCAAAACTTTCTTTGCGGATGATTTCCTGGCGCAATGGGCAGTAGAGTCTTAGACATGAAAAAGTGTCTCCACGCAAATGTCAAAAATCATTCAAGTTCTAGAAGACCATGGCATGCAGCTTAGCCCGAGAAAACGGTGGTACTCTGCTTGCTTCGGGGCACCCAGTACATGCATGCCTCAAGCCCATGCTGTATCAACATGCCACGCTTGGTAAATGTGTTGGAGTTGGGGTTGCTTCATTTCTGGATTGCCTGTCATCGGTTGTCGGTTGTCTGCCAGACTCAAATCTAAAACACGAACCCTTATGTGATGTAATGGCCCAGACGTTTGCTTATTCCGGATTCTGTCACTCCATTTCAAGGGTTTGTTGGTCGCTTGCATGATTGCCCCTTGTGCAACCTCTGGATTGGCAAAAAACCTCCATGTTGCATCAGCACATCACAGCTTAACATGCTGATAAGTGGCACTTTAATCAGTGCTGCAAATTGCGCCAGGTCTGCAGTGGCAACATGTCGGCATACCGGTGCACAAAAGTACACCAATGCATATGTCTTTGCTACTCTTGGACATGGCCTCTTCTGCACTGGCCTGACAATGGCAGGCAGGCAAAAGGTCTGGCACTGTTCTCAGGCAATGGCAGACTCTGACTAACAACCTCTCGCACATTACTGGGCTGTCGAACGCGACTTTTCTTGCCAATTTCAACTTATCTAACCCACTTATCAGCCTGGATACTGATAGAGACTTTAGTTCCATTGCACCAGCTTTGTTCACCGTTGGTGGAAACATAGACACATTACAAAGGATCCGACGCACATGATCGTAAGCGTTCAGCCGGGTAGAGTAGTCTGACGCATTCTTAGTCAAGGGCATGGTCATGAGCAGGGCGCTTGAAGACGATGTGTTTGGCAGCCCTCTTACTTTTGCAAGAAAGTTACTGACCTCTGCAAATCCAGCCTGGACTTTGATACGCATGGAGACTCTGGAGTCTTGCAGCTTCATAAACAGCCTGTACGCGATTGTGGCATGAACTGTTCCTCGAGGGTGACGTGCTTGGCCACAGGATGTGATGAAAAAAAATCTTGCCCGAGCCTGTGAATCTAGCCACTGTAAAAATAGCGTGTTGCTGCCCTAGCGTGTGGTATTTAGGGGGTACTCGTCAATTTGGACTGCAGCGGCTTGCTTTCTGAATGTTGCATGAGCATGACAAGGGGTCCTTCTTCCACCGCGAGTCTTCCTGTGGGCAGATCAACGGTTGCCCAACGTCGCGTCAGGGGTAGATCGGAAGCAGCCGTCAAAATCCTTGCAGGAACTCTGCCGAGTCTTGCTGCGTGCCATCAAATCGCCATGTTGGTAGCAAGCTCCTTGAGCGGAAAGGAGTTTATGAGGTTCAGGGGGAGGACAGCGCTCGACTGCGAATGAAGAGATGAGGCTCATCAGAGCTTGCAGTGACCGCAGTGAAGGGTCTAAGATGGTAGTGGCCAGTAGTAGAGCCTGTATGGATGCATTGACGTAGCAGTTAGAGGTGTTCTTGAATGCGAGGGTTGCCAGAAGAGAAGAAGGGGAGAGACGAACGACATGAGAAAGATCGCTTTGAATTTCTTGCTGCATGTCTGTTGGACCGCTAGAGCCAAGCGAGGAAGGAGAAGACAGAGGAGGAAAGAGAGAGGAAGCTGGAGAGCTGAGTCTTGGTTGCTGCTCTCTGCAATTTCGTTTGGGGATGGCTTTGTACTACTTTGGGCAAGGACTTAGATTTGGCCTCCGTCGGCCGTTGAGGGCTGGCTGCTTTGAAGAAGGATTGAAGTGGACCAGTGGTGGTCCTGGTGATCTGCAACACTGAATCTCCTAGCAGGATCTGAAACAGAACTCCGCACTGCGCCGGATGCTTACGCCGATCAGTGACCATCTTACTGCAGAAAGGGCAAGGTCTGCCTTTGAGGATCTCCGTTCCGAGCTTGTGACATTGTGTCACAGTGCTATCTTGCAGGGCGTCCCAAATTCTGCGATGCTCCTGATGCAAGTGCGACTTAACCTTGGTGTGATCAGGCGTCCAGAAACCACAGAGCACGCAGTGATCCACAAGGCGCTTAGAAGCCGGCTGCCGGGCTAGCTGCGTGGCGGTATGCGTGCCAGCTGTGCTAGTTAGGTGTTCTCGTGACCATGGATGCACTGGTTCGGTCTGACCTGCCGCTGCACCCTCATCTAAGCGCTGAGCGTCTATTCTTCTTAGAGCTGCCGGCTCTCTGCAGGCGCCGGATAGAAGGTGGTCCTTCAGTCCTTTCCAGAGAGCGAAGTGTTTATGACACGCTGCACAAGTAGGTAGGCCGTACTTCGAATGCTCTGGTAGAAAGTCAGGTGGGATATAACGATCCAACTTATCCCTGTGCATTTTGGCCTCGTGTAAATGTAGCCCTTGTTCAGTGGTAGTCTGAAAAGAGCAGTGTCTGCAGCAATGTCTAGGCTCTTCCTCTTCTTGGGTTACTGCTATCAAGGCCTCATAATCTGTAAGAACCTCTTGCGCATACTGGAGAGAGTCGGGGAGCAGCGCAGCATCCTGGTGACTGTGTGGACGCTGTGCATCCCGCATAGCCGCTTGCAGTGCAGCAGACCTTGTTTGGGATTCCTGTCTGGCTCGTAGCGATCTGACTCTGTTGCTCTGGCGTTCCAGCAGCAGCTGGACTGGGTCTTTGCTTCCGTAGGCTGCATATAGGTGGCGCGTCGAGATGCCCGTGAGATGAACGGGCTTGTTGAGAACCGCCCTAATTTTGCTGGCGTGCCACCTGCGCAGTTGTTGCGCTGTCTCCGTTGTGAGGCCTATGTCAACGAGGCCCGCCGAGACCGTCGCCCAGACTGTTGTGTGCCAGATCTTCAGCCTGCTTTTTGGGCCGGAGAGTCTGCGGTTGTGCACGTATCGTCGGACCTGTTGCAGTTTGGCATTACCCTCTTGCAATCTGAAATCTAGCGTCGCCTTTTCCTGGTTGCCATAGGAAACGTACACTCCGAGGTACTCCAAGGAAGTGGATTGCGGGAACGATTCTTGAGCTTTTGTGCTTCCGATTCGCCATCTGCAGTGTCGTACTCCCTGGGCGTCGAGGCTTGTGAGGCCGAAAAGTTTGTGTGCACGAGCTGAAGCAGTGCTTGTTAGCTTGACCATCAAATGACATTTGTCAGAGTTCACTTTGAAACCATATTTTCTGACTATGCGGAGAAGATCAGCTATCATGTTGTGCGCTTGCAGCAAATCCCTCCAGCTGGTGACAGTGTGATGAACTGTCAAGTCATCTGCGTACCCTGTCAAGCTATGCAGCACGCGATCCCAGCCTACGACCTCTGCGAGTTCTCGGAATAGCTTTCCTGTCAGCAAGGAGAACAGGGTTGGAGCTAAAATACCTGTGGTGGATTCAACAGAGCATGAGGTCTGCTGGGATCGAACCGTATATCGGCTGTTGGAATGCAGTGATGCCACTAATCCCTGGATGTCTGACGGCGCCCCAGCTTCGTGAAGAGTGTCCATGAGGTCCTGGCGAACCATGTCAAAAGCCTGTGACAAGTCGAGTGCAAAACAGATCCCGCCCACTAATTCGGGTTTGCGGTGGCCGGCATGCTGGGAGTGCCTGCTGAGCCTCGACTGTGCACAGAGTTGGCGTACCTCTCTGGTGTGCTTCGAGAGTCTGGAAAGGGCATCAGAAAGTCCTCTTTGAGGCTGGTAGGCGAACTGTGGCACCGACCTCAGGTAACTGGAGGTGTAGGGAGCCAGTAGATCTCTGCACGCCCCCGCCAGGCCCTTGCCATCTGGTCTTATGATCCCAAGGGGACGAAGATTAGAGGGCTTGGTTGGGGGTTTGTTAGGCTTCGGAATGAAGCATAGGTCAGTGTCCTTCAGCTGTGCAGAGAGGATCACTGCCGAGTCCAGTGAGCTGTGCTCAGCCTTGCGGGCCTGTTCGTTGCAGTACTTTGCAAGATGCTCGCTGGCCGAGTCTGAGCATAGCTTCCACGCGGCTGCCGACGCTGAGTTCTGAGGAACGGCCTTATGAGGTCTGATGGAGCTTATGTGCTTCGAAAGTTGAGAGTCGAGAGGCCGAGAGCGTTGGCAGGCTACAGACCTCAAATTGCAGTCTGTCATGCCGTTGAAACACTGCTTTAGCATGGTCCTGCATGAGTTTAAGTTCCTCTTCTGCAGCCATCAAATAGCCATCATTGTTTACTAACTGTGTTTTGGGCTGCGGCTGCCAGGGGCGGAGCTTCTGCAACGTCTTATGAGCCTGATAGGAGTTACCGCTTTGTGTAGATTGATCTACCTCATGAGTGAAATCTGCTAAGCGTTGTCTTCGTGCTCTTGTGACAGCCTGCTTATGCCACATGGAGAGGTCTCGCGCCAGTGTCTCGTGGTCTGCCGAGGACAGCGTGGAGTTGGCTAAATCCTCATCTAGGGCCGTCAACCGGGCCCACATTCGCTTGGTTGCCTTGTGCATCGCATTGAGGGGAGGGGAGGAAGGCTTAGGGGCTCTTGGGAAGTAGCGCTCTGACGCCTTAATTTTAATTAGCACCTCATTGACTTCCTCCATGTCAGACGTGGTGATCTGAGAAAGCTGGTCAACAACCCACATTTTCATTTCTTGTGCTTTGGGATGATTGCATCGCACCGCCTCTTCAAGAGCCTGCTTATCATAGGGGGGGGGGGAGGGTGGGAGGAAAGCTGCCAGTGCCTTAAAGGACGAATCTTAGCCTCGACCGGGGAATGTCCGCCTTTCTTCCACCGTCCCAGCGGGAAGTCTGTCAGAGGTTTGCTCTGCTTAGATTCTCCACGCGCCAATGACTTCGGGACCAGGATATAATCGATTTGGGACTCTGAGGTGGCAGTGTGGAACGTCAAGCCTGATCCCGAGGACCATGTATTGAGCGCAACTAATCCATGTCCTTGCACTAGGCGCTGGAAGTGTGCATCTTCTGCTGAGCGATGTTGCGGAGAGCCTGGAGTGCAGGTACCCACAACTCCCACACTTGTGTTCAGCGTAGAGTTGAAATCTCCCAGTACCACTAGCGTGTCACGCTGCGGAACTCCCCGGACCGCTTTGGATAGAGAAGCAAGACACTTCGATCTATCCTCCCGGTTTTGCTGGGCTGTTTTGGAGGTGGTCCAAACGTGCTGATACACCGACACTATGTGCACGCGTGCGCCCTTCCATTGAAAGACCACTTCTAAGACCCTTTCTTTGTGATGCTCGCTCCATCTTATGGTAGCTTTGGGAATGTGCGGGGCCGTGAGTATCATTACTCCGTCTGCCCTCTTGTCATCGTGAACACGCTGATCCTGCGGTTGTGTGCCTGGCTGTTCAGAAGAGTTGTGATCTGGCGTAGGTTTACTTTTTGCCTTGGGAGCTTTGGCCTTGCCTTTGCTGGCAGAGCTTATGCAATGCCACCCCTCAACGTCAAACTCTGTGCTTTCCTGCCAGTGCGTCTCTTGCAGAGCAATCACATCATACTGATCTGATGCAGTACGCAACCAGGTGCGAAGCTCAGCCCATTGCTGCTGACCTAAGTGCCCGGCGTTCCAAGTCAATACCCTCAGTGGCTTGACCATGTTGCCTCCTCTGGGTCGGGGCGCTGTGCGCTTAGCGGGGGGCGTCGACTGTGTCGATCCCTCTGTCGCTATCGGCAAGTGAGGAGGGTGCAGACCGCTTCTCTCCACATATGCCGGCGTCAAGATCCCTTTCCTGTAAGAAACACTTTGCTGAGTGCGTGAAACTTAGGTACATGCTCTCCTGAATGCAACTTTACGAATGCTCCGAAAATGGTCTTGGTGCTTCGAAGGTACCGCCATCCGCTATCTTTTCCCCACCTGAAACAGTCTGGGTTTGCTTCTTGTGGGTACTCCTTCCACCTCGCGGAGCAGTGGAAACCCTCTCGCCTACCCCCTGAAAGAGTGCAGTGGCTGCAAAATCTGTGCTCAGGAGGCCCGGGAATTGGGACCCGGCAGATCAGACGGCTCAAAGATCTCGGCTCACCATGGCTCACAGTAAAGCACAAGCTGTTACGTTCCCCTGAGGACTGGTTGAACCTCTAGGACAGCAGTTGCGCCCAAAGCCCGGTTTCCAGGATGCAAGTGCCCGGCCGTCTGATCCGTGGCGGCTACTACTACTTCTACTACTACTACTACTACTACTACTACTACTACTATTACTACTACTACTACTACTACTACTACTACTACTACTACTACTACTACTACTACTACTACTACTACTACTACTATTACTATTGCTACTGCTACTGCTACTGCTACTGCTACTACTACTATTACTACTACTAGAACAACAACTACAACTACTACTACTACTACTACTACTACTATTACTACTACTACTACTAGAACAACAACTACAACTACTACTACTACTACTACTACTACTACTACTACTACTACTACTACTACTACTACTACTACTACTACTACTACGAGTACTACTACTACTACGACTACTTACTACTACTACTACTACTACTACTACTTCTTCTACTACTACGACTACTACTACTCCTACTATTTCTACTATTACTTCTATTACTAGTACTACTACGATTACTACTACTACTACTACGACGACGACCACGACGACGACGACTACTACTGCTACTACTACTACTACTACTACTACTACTACTACTACTACTACGACTACTACTGCTTTTACTTCTACTACTTCTACTTCTTCTACTACTACTACTACTACTACTACTGCTACTGCTACTGCTACTGCTACTACTACTACTACTACTACTACTACTACTACTACTACTACTACTACTACTACTACTACTACTACTACTACTACTACGACTATTAATATTACTACTACTGCTACTACTACTACTACTGCTACTACTACTACTACTACTACGACGACAACTGCTACTACTACTACTACTATTACTACTACTGTTACTACTATCCTCCTCCTCCCACCCCCTTCCACAATTGCGACGGTTGCTGCCAACCATGACCACTACGACGCCGCTACCACTCCAACTTTGGCGGACGACCACTCCTACGATGACACGACGGCAACAATACCACCACTTCTACCACAACCACAAGCTGCAACAACCACCAAAACCGCACCGCAACAACTTCAACCCGCTTCTTTTTAAAATTTCAACGGTTTGTCTCAAGACAGTCAATCCAAGCATTGACGACAAATTGAAAAACGTCGATGATTTTTTTGGAGAATGCATTTTTCATTTTTTTGACAAAAAAGCTTAATGGAAAAAAGATGCTGGGAACACAAAAACATCTTCAGTTGATTAATTTACAATTCCAGGCACACTGTGACATACAAAATTGCGCGCGCAAACTTTTTCAAAGGCCAACGACCCGCTGGCACGGCTTCCGCATGCTTGTGTTGCTGGCCATGCGCTACCTCCAGTGCATAGCACGTGCAGTGTACAAGTGCAGTGTACAAGTGAATATGCAACCATATAAGTGCATACACTTCTGCAAGTGCATACAGTTCGACTGCAAAGAGTCAAGTGCATGGAGTCGACGCACGGCAAAGCGATGCTTTGGGGCCATCCCTCTTCTAGTTTTGTTTGCAGGTATGCCGTTGGTTGAGTGTGCCTTTGAACCAAAGTATCATTCGCGTCATTGTTTTCTCAAGTGAGTTTGTAAGGAACGCTTACTAAAGTGGTTGGGCACATGGAGTTCGTCTGACAACCGACGAGAAGCGCTTCCCCGAAAACCTCAGTTGACTTGTTGAATTCACGCACTCGCTTTGATCCATTTGTGCAAACCCGTGGCAAGAGGCTGAGTGAGCAAAAGACACAGAAGCAAAACCATCTGTCGTTATGCGAATCGGACTGCATTACTGCTGAGCCTTTTGCCTCATCATGGGTCCTTCACCCAACATATCCCCAAATAGTGAACCTCATCCTTCCTTTCGTGAGATCTCAGCTCTAAGATCGTGGTTTAAAATCATCCAAGGCCCAGGTGAAAACTGGAGCGCAGCGTGAGGGAGCGAGGAACGCCCATGGACATTTTGCTTGCATCGGTCAGCTTGCCAGTTCTGAGCCTGGAAGGCTGCAACCTGAAAGGCTTCAGCTTGCTGATTTGCGAATTGCGCCACCTGTCGCATGAACACCGCACGGTGAGGAATAAACCGGCAGCACTGATGCACTCAGTCCGCCAGGATGTTCATCACCGGTGTCCTAACGTGGCCTGGTGCATCCCAGAAGAACATTTCGCTGCCGTAACCCAGTGGAATCCCCAGTTTTTTATGCCCAGACGGCCTTTGACATCCTGCCAAAATGTCCTAAACCGAAAACCATAGCCCGAATGAAGTTTGTCGGAGCTTTGCAGCGACCCGCCGAAGGCATGCCCCCATGCCCTTTGTTGTTCCGTCCATGACATACATCACATAACATCACACACGCCTCATTTTCAAAGATCCGGTGCGTTGGTACAGGGAAGCGTGCCGAGCATGAAGTAACGCCTTCGCTGTGTGCATTTCGTGGGCGCGTGAAATGGCGTCATCCCAGACGATCGCTGTCGTAGCCGCCTGGGACATCAATCAGTATTCTGATGGTGGCGTTGAAGACGAAAAAACCGATTCCATGTTGCAGAATCGCAGTGGCATGTTAGCAACGTTTGGGACATCGAACTTGTTGTGCATATTTGTTTGCTTTCATGTTTGGATGCTGCTGTCACGATTAGCTGTCAAGCTCAATGTTGCTGGCACAAATCAACAGACCACAAAGCAGAACGGCCCGGTTGTACACAGCCAACGGGGTGAGCAGTTTGCATGACTGCACATGAAGCCAATGAAGCACATAAACCATGATGACCCCAAGCCCTTGGGGTTGTAGCACGACAGAGATCATCGAAGCCCACGCGCCGATGGAAGTGGACGAGCGGAAGGCAGAGGTGGGCGTTGAAGAGCCGAAACAGATTTTCAAGAGGTCCTTCTTCGCATCTTCGCATCATGAAGGCAAGCTGCAGGGCCGATGCAAAGGCCGAGGAGCACAGCGCGGCACCCTACAAAAATCCTCCACAGAACCCACAGACTTGGCTTTTGGGCTTCGCTTGTGCATGGGTTTTGCCGCTGGCAGCATACACCACGGCCAATGCAGGAAACTGTAGCCGAAGCTTCAACCTCAAGTGCAAGACAGCCAGAGGAGGACCAGGCAGCATGGGGCATTTAGATATGTGATAAGTAAGACTTGTGAGCTGCGTTTCAAATGTGCGGCATCCTGAATCCTGAGTCTGGCAGGAACTGTCAAGATTTCATGCCAAAGCCAAAGCTCGGAGAAAAAACAGACAGAAACGAATCCAGTGACCTGTGGTTCGCACAAGTGTGTACAGCATTTTTTGATTCAACTTCCAATGCTCCAGATCTCATTCCTGAGGTACCAGTTCATGTTCAAGGACGCCCCTGCACACAATTTCAGCAATGAGCCTTTCGCAAATGTGTTTTTCAGGCGGGAGCCTTCGTCATCATGTTGACAGTGGTGATGGTCACAAAGAAGGTTCAAGAGTGGTACTCCGAAGCATTCTTGCGCCACGTTCAGTTAGTGACACGTTGCGAGATGCCATGAAAGTTTTCAGGTACAAAGGAGGTACCAACTCTACGGAAGTTGAGGCTCCATGGACTAAGTTGCACTTGCAATTCGTTGATGTTCCTTGCATTGGTTTCATTTGAACCTGCAGGCTCCGGAACCAGTTCCCGTTGCCAAGGGCATCTTGCTTAGAAAAAACGTCTGTAGTTTTCTCGAGCTGCAGTCTTGGGATGCCAATCCAGGTGAACTCTGATCATCCACGAGCCCCATCCTCTCGTGCACGGACAGTTCGGCAGTGCTGTGCAGCTGTACAGAACAGGAGGGTTACACAAGTGATGATCGCTTGGCAAAGGTTGATGTGACCACCCACTGCCAAGCTAGTTTCTGGGGTGTTTGCCCGGTTTCGAGCCCAAGATGGGTTTTGACATGTATTGGGACTGGTGCGGTCTTGCAAAATGTCCCACTTGGTGTAGATGCGGCACAGTTTCGAGAAACCAATTCTGAATCCCTCATGTCTTGCTGAGCCATGTGCAGATCATGGAGCCATGCATGTTGTCAGGGAAGATGGCCATGCAATGCAGCCTCGCAGAGTTTCACCACGCCCCTTTGCTCTTCAAACCAATTTCGCTGCGCACGTTGCCGTTCGCGCGTTCGAAGCTTGCGGCGTTGTCGCACTGAACTTCTTCGTTTCTGGTAGCGCGTTTTTCGACTGACGCTTTCGTTTTTCGGATTGGCGGCCTTTTTGTTTGTGGCGTGCTATGGGCTTTCGGACACAAATGACCAAACATTTCTTCTCGTCCGGTTGTGGTTGCGTATCCAGGGCAGCAAAAGAGAAGCCGCGGCAGCACGCAAGCCCATGCCACATCAGCAGGCAACCCGAATGCCATGCCAGGGCCGAAACAGCACCGAAATCAGACATCAGGAGGAGGGCAGCAGCAAGCAGAACAACAGTTTGGCAATCCGAATGCCAGCGGAAAGGCAGCAGCAGGGGCAGCAGCTCTTCGGGCAACCGCAGTACAGTCCGAAGCAACCGGGCAGGCCACCCGCATGCCGCCAGAACATGCAGCCAGGGCAGCAGGCAATCCGACGGCCATGCCAGCACAGCAGCAACCAAGGCAGCAATTGCAACCCGAATGCCAACCAGCAGTTGGCCCGTTGGGTTTGCACGTGTGCTTTTCAAATCTTTTAACTGGAACATGTTCATCAGTTTGCAATTGGCATCCATTTCATTTTCAGTTTCATTTTCATTTTCACTTTTCCTTTTTCATTCTCATTTCTCCTTTTTCATTTTCATTTTCATGTCGTTTCAGGGCACAGCTCACTGCGAGGAATCTTGCGCGGCGTGAAGCAAAAACCATACAACAGCTTAGCACGCCCGCTCGCCCTGGCTCATGAGCTTCTGTTCCATACAGCGAGCCTTCTTCAACCATATCATGTAGCAGTCGCAGTTGCAGCAATGCCTCCAACTGTGCTGCAATAGCAGCTGTGTCATTCTTGCCATCATCCGTCACCCAACTCACCCATCGCCTAGTATCAGAAATGCAATAAGGATAGTTGAATATGCACTAGCAGTAGCAGTCGCATGACAAATGCCCAACTGCAAAAATCAAGCAGCTTATTCGTATCTGATTTAAATGCAACCGACATGCCGAAATGTTTCCGCTCATCTGCCGTTGTCACACAAACAATTTTGCTTCGTTGTTTCCACACGTTTTCGTTTCCACACGTTTGTTCTCGGTCGTTGTTTCTGTGTTTTTGAGTCTTGAATTTTGCAACCTTTCAGAGCAACGTTTTATGCACGTGTGTCAGATGTTGGCCCAAATGGCTGAAATCAAAACGTGAAACGCATCATGAGGTTGATTGTTCTACAGTCTACGTGTAGCATTCGAGCATTCGCCCTCCCATACAGACATTGTTACGACCTGACATCGCTTGTTCGCAATGTCTGCTGATGGCGCCGAACAGCTTCTCAGCTGGATTTCATAGGTTTTGGTGGCAGTAATGTCGGTTGCTCAAGTTGTTTCCCATCTGGAACAAGCCGCACGCACCTGTGCAGTGTGCACAGGCCAAGTGGTGAAACGGAAGGACAGGCTGCGCCAGAAGAGCGGAGCGCCGCTCGTGTTTGCGCCGAGGCTGGGTTTGCGTATGTTTGCGCATGTGATTCGGGTTGTTTTGCACGTGAATTAGTGCATGGTGTGTCTGCCCTTGCAGACTTCCCTGGATGCACTAGCAGTCGTTGGACGGGGCATGATGGCCACGGGTTCCGACGCTTGCTTTCAAAATTGGAGATTGCGCGGTTGCTTGTGCCAAGGGCTTTGTCAGACGCTTCATCACGAGGCGGTGCTCACGGCTGTGCAGTATACGGCCTATCCAATCAAGGAGGCTTTGAAAGTGCATGCCAGAGGATATTACGGTGATTGCACCCCCAGAGCATTGCAAGGGTGTCATTTGCGTGATGGACACCACAAGCGAGTATTTTTCGCCGTACTTGAAAAAGCTGTGACCTCGGCATTTGGATCAGCTGTGTTTCTCAAGCCCGCGATCATCTAGCAACCCATTTTGCTCAATCTTGCAGGCAGGCAGCCAACCATGTACCGACGTTCAAGTATGGCTGACAAGGAGAACGCATCGCTGGCGTTGCCACAGATTGGCAGGATTCTGGTGTGTTTTTGGTGTGCTCATCCGGCGAAGCCTGAGCTGAGCCATTCATGATGCAGCAGTATCGGCACATTCCTAATCCCAAGCAGTTTCACTTGTGGCAGAGATGGCAGACGCCCGTCTGTGAGAAGCAGCGGAGCAACAATGGGAAGTCATGTGAATCCGAGCTTGCTACCCGTTGCGGCGAACATGGCATTCTGTGATGTGAAATTTCCAGGGGTTGAACAGCCGAGATGGCTTGACGTGCTTCGTTGCCAAGTCAATGTGCAGTGAAGTGGGAGTTACTGTAGGCACGTTGCTTCGCTGGAGGCGGGTAGGCCCGGGTAGGCCAGGCTATAAATCGGTGAGGGTTCTACAGCCTCTACAGCTCACATTTTCACACAGCTTGCCTGACTGACAGCGGCAATGGCGGCATCCAAAGCCAGCTCGCAGCACGGCAAGGCAGGTATCCAGAGTTCTGAATCTTCATGTTGTGCTTGACTGGCAGAGTTTGCTACCTGAAAGGTGCGTCGATCGGCTCGTCTCCAGCAAGCACCGTCCAGGCAAGCTTTGGCCGTTTTGGTTCAGTTTTTTTTTCTTTTTCTTCTCCTCTGTTTGCTTCTTCTGCCTGCACAGGCGAGGTCACGAGCATGTTCGCTCTCACACGAAAGGTTGGCTTTATGGTTTACCCGAGGCTACCTGAGGCTAACCCGAACACAGAAACACAGTAACACGCGCACACAAGCAGATCAGTGCTGACACTTCCAGCCGTCGCAATGCGAGCATTCATCCACCTTTCAAACCTTTCAGCCCCTTCGTCCAATGAGCCTCCGCTTGGCCTCATGGCTGCGGCAGCGGTGAGGGCGCCGTCAACTGCGGAGCCGAACTGCACCTTCGAACGTTGCCAAGCTGACTGAGATTATCATGAGATTATCATGAGATTACCATGAGCTGGTGCCTCGCAGGTTGTTTTATTTGGAGCTGTCAAGGTCATGTTTTTCGAAGCTGAGGCCGACTTGAGGTGAATGTTTGGCAGCTTCTGCTGCATCTGTGAGGATGCCAAAAGCACAAAGGCTCGAATCGTGAAAGGACTTAGTGTGCTGTTCCTGCGAAAGAATGTAGAACATGTCCGCTTGTTTGGTCTGAGAGGCAACACCAGCTTCGACTAAAGCCCGCCGGAGCTCGCAGAAGATTCCGAATGCTGTGGCCTGATTCATGTTGATTCTCCATGTTGAGCCCTAAGCCCTAAACTCTAAACCCTGAACCCTAAACCCTAAACTCTAAACCCTAAACCCTGAGACCTAAACCCTAAGCCCTAAGCCCTAAACCCGAAACCCTAAGCCCTGAGCCCTAAGCCCTCAACCCTAAACCCTAAACCCTAAACCATATCGGTATTGGGAAAGCTGCATGGAAAGCTTAGGAGCTGAAGGCAGGCAGTGATGGGCCTGTCACATCTTCTGGAACTTCGCCGGCAGCTCTCTCCACTGCAGCGCAGAGTGAAGTGGCGGAGAAGGTCTTGTCTGTGGGCTCAAAAGTCGACTCCATGTTTGAACTCAATAGTTGAACTGCATATTTTAAGTTCATGTTTGGAAGATTCAATTGTCATCACCTTTTCGTGCAAGAGGTGGCGCCATCAGACTCCGGCCATGTCGTTGCCGACGTTCTGGCTGAAGGTGTTGTGTCTGTGGCTGTGGACGAGGCCTGCACAGCAGCTCGCAGCTTGCGTCATGTCAGTGCAGTGTTCTTTGTGCGGCTGCACGCATTCTCAGTACGACGTGAAGGAGGAGCAAACTCAGAAGCGGACGCGGCGGAGAAGCCATTTCGTTCCAAATGGCGGGATGGTACCAGAGGCGGATCTCTGGCAAAACAAGTGTCCAAAAGCTCTTTGAGTTTTTGGGGCTGGGTCTACACGGCCAATTCGTTGTGGGCTGTTTGCTTGGGTTGCAGTTTTTTGCTTGTGCTTGTTGAAAGCGTTCAAGCTTACACAGAGAGGTATCAAGCACCTGAAGCTCTAAGCTTCTATGCCATGTTGGCCTGTTGCGATTTAAAGAGTTCAAGACCCAACAACTATTTCTTTCCACTTCAACTAGTTGCAAAACGTGCTCAAGCCTTTTGGATCTGAGCTAAGCACATTGGGACCTCAACAATTCTGTTCAACCAGTTCAGAGGCTGCTTCACCTACTCGATTCACCCAGAAACAGTGAACTTTACTTCCAGCCCCTCACACTTGTGTCCAACTCAGACGCAGCAAATCGTTCAGCAGTCTCAAAGCCCGGCATCCAGGAAGACCAAGAAAACAGCAGGAGACAGGAAACTAGTCAGGAAGGTCGGAAGGCAAGAGCTTCAAAGCAAACAAAAAGCAATAAAAGGCCACACTCCCCTTGGAACATGATGGATTCATCCAGCTTCGAGCACGGAATGCAGGCATGCAGCACAATTGAACACAAGATGCTTGCAACTTCGTAGATAAGCAACGCGCGCCGACTGTGACAAACATGGTCGCATCGATTTTTGTGTGCCGTGCCTGCCGAATACGTCCTTCCACTGGTTGATGATTTTTTTTCCCGAAAGCATCGCGAAGGGTTCTTCCGTGCGGAGCCCCCTGACACAACAACATAGACTGAAGTGCATAGAGTGAAGTGCATAGAGTGAAGTGCATAGAGCGAAGTGCATAGAGTGAAGTGCATAGAGTGAAGTGCATAGAGTGAAGTGCATAGAGTGAAGTGCATAGAGCGAAGTGCATAGAGTGAAGTGCATAGAGCGAAGTGCATAGAGTGAAGCATAGAGTAGAGCATAGAGTGCATAGAGTGAAGTGCATAGAGGCAAGTGCACAGAGTGAAGTGCACAGAGTGAAGCGCAGAGAGTGAAGTGCATAGAGTGAAGTGCATAGAGTGAAGTGCATAGAGTGAAGTGCATAGAGTGAAGTGCATAGAGTGAAGTGCATAGAGTGAAGTGCATAGAGTGAAGTGCATAGAGTGAAGTGCATAGAGTGAAGTGCATAGAGTGAATTGCATAGAGTGAATTGCATAGAGTTTAGTAATCAGTGAATACAAATTTCTAGATTTACGTAGAATTTACTAGACCTTCGTACCCAGTCCTAGATTTCTAAATTAAAATTACTCTTTCTAAGGCGGCGGGCTGGGTTGACATCGCCAATCGGGATTGCAACCCTCTGCGGGTTTCGGCGTGGTCGCGGTGCTAAAACCGTCGTTTTTTTACGTTTCTTGATTTGCGCGGACAACCCTCTGCGGGTTTCGGCGTGGTCGCGGTGCCAAAACCGTCGTTTTTTTACGTTTCTTTGTGGCCGCGGACAACCCTCTGCGGGTGATCGCCGGGTCGCGGTGCTAAAACCGTCGTTTTTGGTACTTTTTTTCGTGGCCGCAGACAACCCTCTGCGGGTTTCGGCGTTGGCACGGTGCCAAAACCGTGGTGTTTTTGCGTTTTTTGACATACAAACGTAACCCCTCTGCGGCTTTCGGCGTTGGCGCGGTGCCGAAACCCTCGTGTTTTTGCGTTTCTTGACATGCAAACGTAACCCCTCTGCGGGTTTTCGCGTGGTCGCGGCGCTAAAACCGTAGTGTTTTTGCGTTTTTTGCGTTTGTTTTTCGACTTGTGTAGTACAGACGTAGTACGCCGGGGACTTCTGTGGCTGGAAAATCGAGTTTTGTAGTACAAACGTTCTACGCAGGGGACGCCCGGAGCTTCCGTGGCTGGAAAGTCGACTTTTGTAGTACAAACGTAGTACGCCACGCGGAGCTTCCGTAGCTGGAAAGTCGACTTTTGTAGTACAGACGTATAGTACGCCGGGGACGCCCGGAGCTTCCGTGGCTGGAAAGTCGACTTTTGTAGTACAAACGTAGTACGCCGCGCACACGCGGAGCTTCCGTAGCTGGAAAGTCGACTTTTGTAGCACAGACGTATAGTACGCCGGGGACGCCCGGAGCTTCCGTGGCTGGAAAGTCGACTTTTTGTAGTACTCACGTAGTACGCCGCGCACACGCGGAGCTTCCGTGGCTGGAAAGTCGACTTTTTGTAGCACAGACGTATAGTACGCCGCGGACGCCCTGGGCGTCTGAAAACACCGCAAATAGCATGGTAACGGACATCTGGCCGCCTGAAAACACCGCAAATAGCATGGTAACGGACATCTGGGCGCTTGAAAACACCGCAAATAGCATGGTAACGGACATCTGGGCGCATGAAAACGCCGCAAATAGCATGATAACGGACATCTGGGCGCTTGAAAACACTGCAAATAGCATGGTAACGGACATCTGGGCGCTTGAAAACACCGCAAATACCATGGTAACGGACATCTGGGCGCTTGAAAACACTGCAAATAGCATGGTAACGGACATCTGGGCGCTTGAAAACACCGCAAATAGCATGGAAGCGGAATTCCGGACGTACTTGAAAACCTCGCAAATAGCATTCCCGCCGCGGACACCCGGAGCTTGCATGTCGAAACCCATCGCAAATAAACCATCGCAAATATCGCGGGACTCGAATTCCTCGAAACCCTTGCAATGTCGTGGGACTCGAATTCCGGGGCCTCGAAAACCTCGCAAATATTGGGACTCGAATTCCTCGAAACCCTTGCAAATGTCGTGGGACTCGAATTCCGGGGCCTCGAAAACCTCGCAAATATCGTGGTTCCAAAACCATCGCAAATACCCTGGTCCCCGAATTCGCTGGTTCCAAAACCATCGCAAATACCATGGTCCCCGAATTCGCTGTTTCCAAAAGCATCGCAAGTACCATGGTCCCCGAAATCGCTGTTTCCAAAACCATCGCAAAAACCATGGTCCCCGAATTCGCTGGTTCCAAAAACCATCGCGAAAACCATGGTCCCCGAATTCGCTGGTTCAAAAAGCATCGCAAGTATACCATGGTCCCCGAATTCGCTGGTTCCAAAACCATCGCAAATCAGACAAGTGCAGTGTACAAGTGACTATGCAACCATGTAAGGGCATACATTTCTCCAAGTGCATACAGTTCGATTACAAAGAGTCAAGTGCATGGAGTCAACGCACGGCAAATCGATGCTTTCGGGCCATCCCTCTTCTAGTAGAAACACGTAGTCTCGTTGTTGGCGATTCCGGGGAATCCACAAGAATTGAATCCATGGTATACGGAATCTTGCAGCATGTACATGAGGCCAGGGCTGTTGATCTTGATTTCTTCATGGTGATTGAGCGCTGCAGCTGTGCGTCGGAGGACATCTCCCAGCCCGAAGCAGTGATGCCTGGGATGGGTGAGCTGCAATTCCTGGTGCAAGATCCTTCTCGGATATTTCAAGGCAGGCATGCAAGGACATGGGTTTGCAGATTGTGATGTTCCCAGTAGCTTTGGCACACTCCACAATCATATCAAGAAGGCCGCATGTGCGAGAGTGTGGCCAGCTGCAGATTGAATGCAGTGGCCAAAGAAGTCTTCAAGTTGCTTGTGATTTCAGTGTTGAAGTTTGTTTAGTGGTGGCAACATGCGTTACCCTGTGCAGGGGTGGCTCTTGATGCTTGTATGCTTGGCATGACGAAGGCTGTCACCAGGGGGGGGGGCGATGTTTGTTGAGCAGCGTTATTTGAGAGTGCAGACAGCGCAGGAAGGAAGAGAGTGACAGTGAGGTAGTGCCTGTTGCGTGGAAGGAGATGAAGACTAGAGCGCCAGCATGGGCCCTGAGCGAACTGAGGCGGGCGGATTAGATGCCATTGTGGAAGGTGAGTTCAAGGAGAGGGGACATGTTGATGTACCCTGCTCCATCGACTTGCCCTCACGTTGGTGTCCTTCTACAGTTTGATCATTCCTCCTGCAAATCTTGCATTTTGGCGCTTGCGAGCTGTTCTCCTTTACCGAAATATAGTATGTCACATTGACATGGCCAATGGTGAGGAGAAATGTGTTGAGCAAGCCGGATGTAGCAGTGAGGATGCAGCAAGGCTTGGACAGATGTGTTTCATTCGTGTGTGGCATTTGCTATGCTGCATGTGGTTTGGCACTTTTTCCCGAAACCAATTATCAGGTCGCGGTTCTTGAAAGCTGGCGTGGCGGTGAGTTGCGCCAAGGCGCAGGGAACACATCGCACACTTTCTCGATTCAAAAGAAGTGGAGATAACTGGTAGCCGCCCGTTTTGTGAGTGGGAAACTGCATGTGGGTATAGCAACAGTTTCGTCGAGACCGTATGCGTCATGCCAGGGCCGCAAGCCGGGTACTCCGAATCAGGACTGCTCTTGGCTTAGTGGTGCTAGCTTTGCACATTGGACTCGAGTCTCTTTTTGTCTTGCCCGGTCATCTCATGTTACGAACCGATGTGAAGGACGCCTCATGATTGAGGTTTCCGGTGCATGCCAGTCAGCACTTCTAATTTTTGCGCATGTTCTGTTGGATTGGTACTCTCACGTTTGGTCAACTTTATCAGTTCTGTTGCGCTCGGGGTGAACAGCATTCACTTGATCAGTGTCATTGTTTCAAAGCATGTTTTGAGGCGGCGAAAGTACGCTCTGTTGATTGCGGCTTCCCATTGCGTTTCGGTTTATTGGGCCTCGGAGGTACTCGGAGTGTTATCAGGCTACATTCGGCTGCTAGAGCCAAAATGGAGATGCGCCCAGACATACCTCCAATTTGGTGAACAGCTCGCACGTAAGTTTGCCTGTCAGCCGGAGTTTTTAACTTCAGACCACAAGCAGCCCCTGGCAATCCAACATTGTTGCAAATTCTTGGAAAGCCTTTTGCTGGTAGTTGGTTCCTGCCGCTGGCAGCACAAAATAGTGCAAATAAGATAGATGACCCCGAAGGGAGCAAACATCCGGGGTCCAGAATGGCGTATCATCGAGTGGACAGCATGCAGGACAACTTCTTCGTTGCAGAGTGCGGGCACTTTCTTCTTTGCTGTGTTGCCGACGGACATGGCCATGAGCTTGGCATTCGGCACCGTTCTATATCGTCTCTGAAGTAATGCTCCCATATAGTATCATACAGGCTACAGACCCAGTGCCCCATGACCGCGTTGCTACAGGCATTGGCGGTCATTGGGCATCCCACTGGACCTGCAAGTTCGTCCTCAGGACTGCGCTTCATGCGTTTGACCTGTGTAAGCTGTTGTCAGAATTCACTGTTTTCATTCCAGCTTTCCACAGCACGCCATGAAGAAAAACTCGCTGCTAGCTGTTGTGAACCTGGCAACCTGACACTCTACAGGATGCTTTTGCAGCACATGGCGACGACAAAGGCGTTGCCAGCAGAGGCAGTGATGAACAGGACTGTTATTGTAGAATTTCTGGATGAGCTCGGAGGGAAATGCCATCTTGCTCCCCTAAGCTGCTCGCAGGATTTTCGACACTGTGCATCAGGACTTCTGCAACTGGCATGGCGCGCAAGTGCACACACAGCTACAGGTTTATGTTCTTCCACGATAACTGTTGGCGTTGCGTAAAGGGAATGTTGTATGAAGGATTCTGAAGGTATTGTGTGCGAATGCACAGCCAGTTATGTTGCATGACGGCATGCGATACACTGCAGCCCGCTGCGCAGGCGATGTCAAGCAACGTCGTCATTCATCTGCATGTTGTAGGGGCTGGTGGCATCTATGTGGAGTGAGGCAACAGCGGCAAATGTAGTCAAAAGAATGGACGTTCACAAACCACTCGAGCACTCTTCGTTGGTGCCAGCACTCTTGACCTCCTGGCACCCCCTGTCGAAGCTGAATTCTGCAAATAACTCAATGAAGAAGCGAAGATGACAAGCCCAGGACCTTAGCTGCTAAGAAGCAGGGTGTACACGCACGCACACATATGCGCGCGCGCAGCTGCACGCTGTTGCTGAAGATCAATCCAGGAGCTTGTGTGTACAGCCACATCGAAAGAGTTCGAACTGTCGCCGCAAGCTTTGAGAACTAGAATCTGGAAGATGCGTCCATGTCCCCTTGCATTCCAGCCATGCGAGTGAGTTGAAATCAGGCTTAGTGGGACCACACTTTCTGTGCTGAGCTGAGCGGGAGCGTAAATGTTTCCGTCCATGCCAACACGCGATCATACGTACTTTTTCACAAGGTGGCTGTGGTTGACCGCCAAAAACAACAGCTCTTGTTGGCTTGGGCCGATGGCTCAAGAAGCATGTCCATGGAAAGCCCATGCAGATGAAGCTGAAGAAGGCACGTGTTAGTTGTGCTGATGTGCCGGATCGTGAGGCTGGCGACTCAAGATGTGTGCTTGGCCGGCCTGGCTCTGACGCCAAGGAACCTGGACTAGTTTAGACATCAGAGGCGTTGAAGATTGTTAACATGTGTCAGCAACGCAGTCGTTATTTTGTCGTTTGATGTGTCCAGCCTATGCTGTGCCAGCTGTTGCAGACATACATGTTCGGTTTTCAGGCAAAGCCTTCCTGTGCAGCTTGGCAAAAACTAGTCCAAGGTATTCACAACAGTTTGGGGCCGTGCGGCAGTTGCTGGGCAGTTATGCACGGTTGGGGCTGCAAGAGCTGAGGTGGGAGCTTCAGAGGATCACAAGCCGAACGACCCAAAGGAGGGCCGTTAACTCGATTGTGTCATGCGCTCGGCAGTGGCATCGGATAGCCTTGACTCGGAGTTTCGAGATGCTTCGAATAATAGCATGTTGGAACTCTCTCATCTGGTTGCTGGAATACTTGGAAGGAGAAAGCCCGTGTCTCTGCCAGCGGTGGTGAAGTGTTGCTGCTTCCTGGTGTGACTTGAACGCATCATTGCCCGACTCCGAAGCACGGGATGTGAAACCACGTCTTTGCACAGGATGTGCCCTACCGAATCTTTGCCAAGAACAAGGAGGTTCCAGGTTTGGCAATGTCGCGGTCCATCGGAGACCTGTCTGGACATTCCGTGGGAGTGATCCACCAGCCATGTGCTTAGCTTCACACCCACGCTGCTTCGTAAGAATTGTTCTGTGAACTTATTCTGTGAACTTGCTAAATGAAGGGCTTACTTCAACAGTCGACGACAATGTTGCAGGGCTCAAGGCTAGCGAGCTTTAGAGGCTTGCTTCGATGCAGTGACAGTTGACACTCAGGCCAAGCTTAAAGCTGCTCAGCTTTCAGAAGGACGACTTGCTGCTTTGCTGTTCTGACGGCGTTTGGGAGTTCGTGAACGACGTCGACGCCGTGAACACGGTGCTGCAGGCAAGAGGCAGCACTGGTAGCAGGGCAGGCGTACTAATGCGTACGAGGCGAAGATCGCAGGCCTAGGAGCGACCGCAAAGGTAGCCGCCACCCGCACTATCATGGTCAAGAGATGTCAAGAGTGATATTGCTTATCTCGTTACATTTTGCTAACCGGCGGCTCGGTGTTGTTCTGTCTGCATTGGACTGCACGGGAACTTCAGTCAAGGTTGGACGCAAAAGCGCTGCCGATGCAGCAGTGAGCCTTTGCTGAACTGAGGTCGGTGTTGTGTGTTGACATGTTCTCCCGGCCTCTCCCTTCTAGGTCCCCACCTTTCCATCAAGCCCCCCCAGAGCCCTGTTTCCCCTCAGCCTGGGCGGTTTGGGTGGCCCTGTTCCCCCTGCGCCAGTTTTTGTTTTCTATTTTTTGTGTCTGTCTCCCCTCCCCTCTGCTTCGTGCTTCCGCTTCTGGCCCTCCTCTACCCCCCTGCTTTCCGCTTCTTCATCGCCTTCCCCTCCTCCTCCCCTGGGCCTTGTGGGGGTTTCGGCAGTGTCCACGGTTCATAGCTGTTCCCCCTACTTGCTCCTGCCTCCCCGTCCCCTCTCTCCTGCCGCGTCTTGACCTTTGTTAGAGTAGCAATGGAAAGAGCAAAAGAAGAGAGACAGCTCCCCAACAACCCTTGATGATTTTGTACCGAATGGTCGCAGTGTGCAGTTGCAAAAATCCGTTTTCACAGCTCTCCGATGCGAAGTGTTAGGGTGCAAGTCTAAGAGCGAAAGGCAGTGAAAGTCGGAACGTAGACGGTCATGGGCAACGCGAGATGTGGAAACCATATGTTGGCCAGTTTGAAGCCAGTTTGAAGCCACCATCCTGCTTGCGCGAACATCTCTGCAGCTTTCTGCTGCGCCAGCCTCGCAACGCGCAATCTGTCAACCCCCATCTCAAGTCACTTCCGGGGAATGGGGAGTGCAGACTCAACCGCTGCAACTGGGAGAGCGAAGAGGATCGAGCAAGGATACGTTGTCAAGAGATGCCAAAGGCAGCACTACACTCCAAGAGTGAAGATTGCTACACATTTCATGCTGAATGTTTTCTGAGGGGAGATCTCAACCGTTTGTGTGTCTACAAACTTGCGCGCATGACTCCCTCTCTCTCTCTCTCACTCTCTCTTATTTTATTTTCTTTTTGTTCTCTCACTCTCTCTCTCTCTCTCTCTTTCTCTCTCTCTCTCTCTGCCCCCTCTCTGTCTCTCAGTGTGACAGGGACTCTGGAACCAAGGAAGCTGGTGTCCGAGTCTCGAGCACAATGGCTTGCCGAGTCCGTCGCTTCTCTCAACCGTGCTGCAGTCTGCGGGGCATTCGTAGAGCCAGCACATAGCCAGACACTGCCACCGAGGACGACTGTTGCGATGACATCACCGTGATTGCCGTGTGGCTTTAGGAAGTTCATGGGCCTTTTCTTCGCTTCAGTTGCTTCCTGTGTTTTCCTCAAATTACTTCTCCAGCCCTATGCCTTGGCTCAAGGCGACAGCTAGTGCAAATGCAGTAGCACGTGCAAATGCTGCCAAGCTTCACCTCCAAGAGGTCTAGCTGCAGCACACAGCCAGTCAGTTGAAAACAGCGGTGCCACTTTATTTTTTTTTGCCGCGATCCGGGGGGCCCTGGTGTGCAGTGGCGGCTCATGTGCCTGAAGCTCGAGATTTGTAGCTTGGAAGCTGAGCCAGGCCCGTGCAGAAGGCCTGGACTTTGCGTGCGTGGCTTTACTCAACATTTCTCTGGGTGGCGTGCGTTTCCCGTTTGCATCCGATGGCTTAGTGTTGTGAGCGTTATGGATTAAGGATGGTAAAGATGGTAAAAGGCGCATTGTCACCTTCACTTAGTTTACTTTTGAGCTGGGAGGGACTACATGGAATACTCCGTTTAGTGGCTCCCACTTCAGCCCCAGGCAAAAGCCATCAAAGGCCCCAAATACAGCATCGTTCGTTCTTTGGGCTTAGTGATGAAAAGGCGGCCCGTGGCCACCATCCGTGCCGGGGCACTGCCTGTCACCATCTGCCTCCCATTTCCTGCTTCTCCCGGCCGAAACGTGGCCGAAAGGTCCATGCAGAGGCCTCGCGGAGGACACACTGTACGAAACGTGTACGAAACGAGGGAGGAGGCGGAGGATGGCGGAGGTTGACTGCCATGTGCCCCGGCTCCGGTCCTGGTCGGCATCACAAAAGCTTGCGACCTCTTGACATGGTACAGGTATAGGACTTGTTTCACGACACCTCGTGGTCAGATCCTCATTCTCCTTTGAGTGGGCCAGCCTTTGTCCTCAATCCTTTTGAGTGGGCCAGTTGTCCTCAGTCCGAGTTGTTCTTAAAGCCCGATACTCCTGTGCCTCCTCACACTTCTGCAGCTGGTTTTGGTCTGATGGAAGTTGTGCCTGGGGCGTTACCGTGTGACAGACAGCCAGGCATGCTCTGTGCCTGTTCCTGATAGAGTGCCATGTCCGCCAAACAACTGGCGGCCGCGCGCAACACAGACTTAGGCAACGAAACCGCGGAGAGGTGAGAACCGAGCCTTTGAGTTGTCCGACTTGTTATGAAAGCGAGCTTGCATGCTTTTGGTCAGGCCCGCAAGGATCGAAATCGGTTAATCCTTTTGGAGACAGATTTCGCGACAGGAGAGGAGGCAGTGTGTGCTGATGCTTATATACACGTGATAGTGCTTGTGTGGAGCTCTTGCAAGGCGGACCCCTGGGAAGGCAGCGAAATGGAGCTTTTGCATTCGTCAAGCTTCGTCACTTGCTTGACACGTGCTCTCCGTTTGGAGCCGTGCTTCAACGCATCGAAGGCATCGAACTTGTTTGAAATTGCTTCGATCCAGGTCCGGGGCGGCAAACACACGGCCAGCAAGGCGGACAGGCCCCTTTCTTACTGATAGCCCTTTTTCAGACGTTTTGTTCGGTTCCTCTCGATCAAAAGGCGAACAACATCGAGACCAGAGGCCTCGATTTGACTTGCCAGCTGCGAACTGCAGCTGGTTCCATTCCATGATGTTTCCGCAGGGCACATATGGGCACATGTTCGCATCAGCATGTGTGTGTACTGGTTTCGACATGCAGTTCTTTGGGTAAGTTAAGCAGGTTCTCGCGAGACAGCACGTCTTGCGACGGCCTCATAGCAAATATGACTTTGAAGACATTCTCCATCGCGTCTTGGCTCTCCTGGCATGGTCGGGCGTGGGCTGCTTCTCGTTTGCACTCGTTCGAACGTTGCGCTTCAGGTTGCACCTTTTGATGTATGGGGTTTCCGAAATTAGGAGTACCTTATTGGGGTTTTTCAGTGTAAGGGAATCCTACCATGTGGGGATCTATCTTGGGGGCCCCCCCAGTTTCGTAAACCCCCATATGCTGCTGACACAACCTGTAGGATGCGTGGGGGGGCCTTTCAATTGGCATACGCGCCAGGCAGAGGAGCAGGCCGTAAACTTCTTCTCATGTGAGGTCTCGCAACTCAGCCCCACTCATGCATATGCAAGTGACCTGCTCGAGCAGTGCACAGCCGAAGAGAAGGCATGCATTTGGTGCCGTCTTGATGCTTGCTCCTGCTGTGCTGCCGTTTCTTTGTCGGCTCAGTCGTGAGCCGGCCCCTGATACAGCTTGCAGCTGGCAATGGCCATAGAAGAGGCCGGATGAGCATGATGGCACAAACTGGGATGCCCCACGTCAAGCTTGAACCAAGAAGCGCAGCTTTTTGCTGTCTCTGTTTCAGGGCCAGAAAGGAGAGCCTGCGTCTCAGATGATAGCGCTTGAATCGAGCCTTGTGTTGGCAGCACAATTGATTTCCAAACGCGAAAAAAGCAGATGCGGAGGCCAGCTAAGAAGAAAACGAAGAAAGCCAGGCAAGCCGAAGAGAAAAAAGGCCCACACAGCTTGTTGTGATTGGTCGCTCACCTGCATGAAGTGGTGCCTGCCAGATGACCGACAGATTCGTTTCCGAAATTATATCCCACGAACGCTGTGGTCTCAGAATGGACTGGGGCGTCCCTCCAAGTATCCCCTGCCAGCAACAACACTTGGTACCCACTTGGTCCAGCTCCTCGGTTCGTGGCTCCTTCAACAAGTATCCCTTGAGTCATTGAGACAGTCTTCAGGCATGGTCAAGTGCCCAGCCGTCGCTGTGAGTTAGGCCAGAGCTCCGGGATTTTTGCATGCCAAAGCCCTGTCCTTAATCTCTGGCACCGTGAATACTCATGATCGCGTGATTTCGTATGACGTGCGTCCTTCGCCTGGTATTGCTTAGGATCACATCTGCCGACATTGAGGTGCGGCATCCTTCCATGTGAATTGTGGAATCGGCTCTGCTGACTTCTGTAGAGCAGGCAGACATTGACAAAGAAATCCAAGAGGCTATCACAGCAGCTGAGGCTGGAGAGAGCTTGGCTGGTCTCGCTATGAATTCGGCGCGAGTTGGTTCTTTTAGGGCTGGGTTTCTATTTTATGTGCTGGGGTGCTCGAGATGCATGTTCGCCGGGTTTTGTTTTCATTCTGCCAGTTTGTTCTTTAGGTGCGGCGCCTTCCCTTTCTTGTCGGAATGTGCCGTTTGTACGTATTTTAGGCCCAGGCATCAAGAGTTCGCGTTTTGGAGTTTCTAGGTTAGGGTTTGGCGCAGCCATTGTCCAGGTTTCTAATGTTTTCTACATTGACATCCCAAAAGATCAAAAATTGAGCTTTGAACAGACTCAACAAGCAAGTCGAGGAAACTCAGAAAGCTCAAACTAACCATCGTGGTCGCTGCCATCATCATGAGAACCGTAGCTGGTTTTCTTTGGAGGTGCCCTAAACCCTAAACCCTAAACCCTAAACCCCAAACCCTAAATCCTAAACCCTAAACCCTAAACCCTAAACCCTGGATCCTAAACCCGAAACCCTAAACCCATGTTTGAATCTGTGCCCTAATCCTGCGCAGGATACAGAGGCAGTGCTGGCCATCGCTCCACGAAAGCCCAATTGGGTGTGGGCCCCTGAACGTTGGCTCAATTGGGGGGAGCTTCTGTAGTAGTCTGGTGCACTTTGCCACGCGGCAGAGCAGTGCTGCAGGACCTGAAGCGAGATGTGGAGCGCAAGATGCAAACGCTCGCAGCGCGAACGGACCGCGCAGCTGCCAGTCTTGTCTTGAGCATGTGAGATCATGTGAGGATGAAGTGTTCAGTCGCTTTTCACAGTAGGAGTTGGGTATCAACCCATGCCGAACTGGCCTAGCATGGTTGTGGTATTGCAGCGAAAAACAGCACTCAGTACGTGTGAAGCTGTAGAGCTTAGATTGTTGCAGCATCTTGGTCAAGGTTGTCCAGCTCATCCGGCAACGCATCAAAAAGGACTGACTCTGAGAATGCACTTTGCCGCATGCTATCATTAGAATGTGCGTCTTGCTGGCAGGATGAAGGCCGCGAAGCCAATGATGATGACAAGAAGTAGTCACATGCAATCAAGGTGCCAGCCCGCATCAGCTGTTGAGTCGATGCGAGCCACCTCTTGCCCCAGCCACCGCGCTTCTGTCGCTTGCCCACCTGAGAGCGAGGGAGGGAAGGGAGCTGCTCAGAGGTTTCCGGTTCAAGACATTTGAAGTTCAAGATACGCATCCCTCACAAGCAGCAGGATGTCGCGGAGATGCGCAATCCAGCCCGACATGATCTGCCATGACCTCCCCGTGGATGTACATGCGGGGAAAAGATACTCGTTTTTGCGTCAGTGCGAGATTCTGCGATTCCGGCTTGCTCTGGGAGCATTGACATCATAGATGTAGCATTGATAGCATCGCACAACATTGCCTCAATGCACGCTTCAGTGCAAGGTTTCCGCTCCCACTCTGCCGAAGCGGCCCCTTTGCGCTTGCTGCCTTCGGTTGGGCAGGCGCTTCTCGCGGTGAAACCCATTCCTGAAACCTACGGGGTCAGTTTTGAGCAGCTCATAGGAATGTCCCTCTACACAATTGTTTCAGGGGAACCTGTGTTTTGGGGGGTCGGGGGAGTCGGGGGGCAGTAATGACGCGATATCTATGGATTTCAGCCACAGGCAACAACAAAAGCAGCAGCAGCAGCAGCAGCAGCAGCAGCAGCAGCAGCAGCAGCAGCAGCAGCAGCAGCAGCAGCAGCAGCAGCAGCAGCAGCAGCAGCAGCAGCAGCAGCAGCAGCAGCAGCAGCAGCAGCAGGAGCAGAGCAGCAGCAGAGCAGCAGTAGCAGGAGGGGAAGAGCAGCAGGAATAGGGAAAAGCAGCAGGAAGAGGGAAGAGCAGCAGGAAGAGCAGCAGGAAGGGCAGCAGGAAGAGCAGCAACAATGTTGGTGGTGTGTGGTGACGTGGGGATCGTGGGGTTTCGTGGGTGTTTGAGGGGGGCTTCAGTTCGGAGTTTGGCGACTTGGCGCGTGCTACGCACTTGGGCTAGCTTTGGTTGGCCGCGATTTACCCATTGAAGTCGAGCAATGAGCTTCTTTGTCAACGTCTCTTGTTCAAATTGCCGTTGCAATATCGCAGTACTCGTAGTTGCTGCTGCAGTGCCTCCTCTAGGTTGGCTTGAGGGAGCATCTCATGAACCTTGAACGCCAGGTATAAGTGCCTACGGTGCAACGGAAGTTTCTGCAGCGCTCGGTGCCAAAGAACGCACAAAGACGTCTCTCCCCCAGAAGAAGGGACTACTTTGGCGGAGTTTCCATGTTTGTGTGTATTCCGTGGAACCCTAAACCCTGGCCCTAAACCCTAAACCCTAAACCCTAAACCGCCTAAACCCTAAACCCTAAACCTTAAACTCTAGACCCTAGACCCTAAACCCTAAACCCTTGAGCTGTGTCGTCGGATGCCGTCGGTGGAAAGCATGCTCATCGAATCGAAATGACTGCATCAACCGGAACAGGGAATGTTCCCCTTCTACGAAGAGTCCTTCATCGGGTTTATACTCGGGGGTACACGAAAATCCCTCTTAAGGACTCTCAAGACCGATACCTGAAAACCTCTGGGGCCTGTTCCTTTAGCACTTGCTTCTTCGTTAAATTAGCGGATCCATCCTGCTCCAAATGCCGGCTGATAAACGCTGCATGCAGCTTCAAATCGGTTTTTCCCGTCAACGTTTCGGACAATGAAACGAGAAAATCTGCAGCCCTTCAGATGGTGTGCTTTAGTGTTCAAGGACTCGAGGTGCACGGTCGTTCCAACCCCTCGTTCCGGACTCATCTCGTCCGCGTTGGTCATGTGCCTAACATTCCCGAAATGTGTTACTGCTGGAGAGCCCCTGTGAGTAGTTGGTCCGGCAGCTCAGGCACTTTGCAGGTGACGGGCCGGGGCCGTGTGAGGGATATGCTGAAGGTGAGGAAAAATGGCTGACCCTTTGTGGTGACTTTGCTCCACTGTTCAGAGCATGGACCGTTCATGTCTTCAACGCTTCTTGACTTGCAGCCGCAGCGCCGCAGCGCTCAAGAACTTGAGGAGGGGTGGACCTTGGGGCTGGAGGCTCCAAGGTTCTAAGTTAACCTCCTTTCTAGTCTTTTTTCTGGCTGCGATCTTCCAGAGGCGGCATCCTTTTGTAGTGCGGAAGGATACCAGCAGCACTTGTTGGTGTTTGGCGTTGGTGAAGGTGCCTGCCTCTCCTTAGCATCTCGACTTCATCCTGACCGTTCCGCAGTAGCATACGCGCCATGCCGCTGCTAGCAGCTTTGAAGAAGAATCTTTCTGGCACCTTGGCAAAGGGCAAAGGTATGGTAAGAAACGGAGAGACATGATAAAGAGCACCCGGAAACGTGTTGCGGACAAAGGCGGCTCTTTCATGACATCGATGGTCAAGCCGTCTGGTGGAGATCAGCCGCCATCTGATGAGGAAGCAGACCCGCCGCAGCTTGGCAGTGGAGAGTTGATGGTAAGATGTCTGTGCTTGTACAACATGTAAGACACAAGGAAACAAAGATCCACGAACGTGCTTTTTTCCCGAAACAGGCTCGAGAGCTCCTCGTTGTATGCCCAGCCATGCTGCAGGAGCTTTGCATATGAAGTCTGAAAACATTTTCCCAACACTAGCGAAAGAAAGATCATGGAAGCTAGCCACCGGGTGTGCGGGGTGTCCATCCAGGGGTGGTCAACATGCGGCCTAATCCCCTGGTTTGGGTGTCTCACCCGATGGTTGTTGAGGTCCGAAACGGTACCCAAAGCTTGCATTTCACCAAGGGGACGCTTGGCGTAAGCGCCTCAAGCCCAAAGCCCAACCTCCTCGAATCCTCAAATCCTCAACTCATCTCAACCCCAAACCGCCAAACCTAAGTTTACTTCAAGCTTTGAATTCAGCCCAAAGCTTGGAACATAGTGCTAGATTGAGGTTCTACAACCTAGATATATGTCCGCCGAGAGAGGCCACGAAAGTTTCGCGAAAGGAAAACACAATATATCCGCGAAGAGGAAGATGAAGCGAAGTCTTGATCAACCTGTTCAATCGCCAACGTCCGTCCCATTTCAGCATTCTCGTTCCACATCGTTCCACGCCTTTTTTCCAGCGAAGTGAATCGCTGTCATTGCTGTGGGTAGAAGCCTGCAAAGCCGTGCGGGTAGTGCCAAGGTCTCAAATGAGCACGAGCTGTGCATCTGCTTCCCATCCATCACTCTCCTCTGGTGACATGCAGCGCGCTGAGCTTTCTTGCGCAACTGCTATCGAGCCATCGCCATCCCTCGGGGCAAGGTCGGGGCTACGAGTTGCCGATCTTGGCCAGGCCAACTCTTGAAAGGTGCGGAGGAGAGAGCGAGCACGGAATTCTTGTGATTCCAGGGAGCATGGTGGATATGTGTTACAGACATCCACGACGTCCAGAGCCTAGAAGCATGAGCCTGACCTGCGAATCTGCTCGGTCGCTACCCGTCAAGGCAACGAGCTCCGCAAACGTGTCCACTCCTCAGATCGCCATCAACCCCTTTTATTTTGTGGAATCTCCATGTGCTCAGTTGTGCAATGTTGCGCACTTGTCAAATTGAGAGCAAGCTTCGCTTCTCGGAGGGATTGGTTGACCGACCGCCTGTCTTCGACAGAGGGTGTCCCGGCCTCGGCTCTCTCTCGCTCTCTCTCGCTCTCGCTCGCTCTCGCTCGCTCGCTCTCTCTCCAGTTGCCTCATTCTCTGCCCGCTTTTCAGTCCTGCCGTCGTTAGTCGTAGGTCCTCCTTCTTTTGAACGTCTCTGCTTCAGCACTTACACTTCTCGTCACAGAGGCAGATGCAGCCGTTGTTTGGTCTCTGTATGAAAGGCTTTGGTGCAGGCGCTGGACCAGTGCTCGCAGGCCAGAACCTGCTGACTCTGGGTTTAGGGTTTAGGGTTTAGGGTTAGTCTAAGCTTCACCCGACCGTTCGTTGTGTGGGTTCGACAGCGGAACGCCATCAGATCCAAGATCCCAAGAATTTGTGCACGGATGCAACCGCAGACAGTCGCAGAATCTGTTGTCCAAACTTTGCACGGCGTCGTCAGAACTGTTGCACCTCCAATTTTGGCAGGCAGGTGATGCTGAAGGCTCCTGTGGCAATGTCACGGCCTTTTTTCCAGAGGTGCGCTGGCTTCCAATGCTTCCACACAGATGCATTTGGGCTTCGCCTTTTCTCAACCCGCGCAGGAGATGCCAAGATTAGGAAAGCTTAGGTGGGATGGTCTGTGCCCTGGTTGGCTTCTCTTGACACTGCCGTGCTTTGTTGCTTTGGTTGCTTTTGATGGCTTTTGTTGTGGTTTCATGCGCTGTTCCAGGTGATGGGCACTACGTCTTAGATCAGTTCCCGGGTGAGCACCCTCCAACCTTAGGTCAGGCGAGGTCTCCCTGCAGTGCCACCGTTTCCGCTGAAGCCCCTGGTGGAACACACGCGAGCCTGCATCGTGTCAGATCATCACGTACCTGAAGATGGTGGATGCCGAAATGGAGGCGTCCAGGTATGTGGTCCAGGTGACGTCTCATCGGAGGCTGGAGTCTCAGGCTGCAGTGTGTCGGGTGAAAAGACTTGTCCTTTCACACGTCTCATCACGGTGCCTGATTGCCAGCGATTAAGGGCATGATCTCAGGACTTCTTAAGAGTCTTAAGGGAATCTGGAAAACCACATGAGCCTTGCATGAAGCTCTGCTTGGAGCCAGGCGTGCCGTCAGCGCCGTTCTGGCAGGGGCTGTTTTAGTGTTGGCGCGGGGCTTCACGCCTGAGGCCAGCACTTGAGAAGCCAATGCCAGGATGCCACATTCGCAATCACGTGAGTGACTTGCACCGTTGTTGCGCCGGTGTGTGTGTGTGGGGTTGTGTTGATAAAAGATGGAGGTCTACTTTTTCTGGTCTTGCTATTTTTTTCTACTGTTTTTTTGCTCTTCCCTTCCCTCTGTTTTGCCGCTTCTCTTCTTTTCTGCTTTCTGCTTCTCCGCCCTCCTTGCGTTGGGTGGGTCAGCAAGCCGTAAATATCAAAGTTTTGCGTATGGTCGCCATATGAATCCATGCTATCTCTTCTCCACCCCCTGTCCTTCCCTCCACTACAAAAACAGGGTTTTTAAGAAATAGATACACGGCGCTTTGGTTGTTGCCAAATGCACAAAGATGTTTGATGTTCCTGGGACAAGACGCGCTGTCAACAGCGTCCATGGCCATTGCAAGCATGGCCAAGCGATTGTAATGAATGCTTGAACCGTGTAAAGAGCAAAGAAACCTTCGGGCCGTTAACCCTAAACCCTAAACCCTAAACCCGAAACTAAATCCTAAACCCTAAACCCTTAACCCTAAACCCTAAGCCCTAAAACGGCCGTGTGTGGACTTCTTTCTTGAAACCCACGGCTGCAGGGGGTAGAACTTAGAACTTCGGGTTAGGGTTGAGGGTTTAGGGTTTTTGGGTTTAGGGTTTAGGGCTTAGGGTTCAGGATTTCGGGTTTGGGGTTTCAGGGTGTACGGTTTAGAGCCATACTGTTACAATGTAAGAACATACTCGTAACAATGAAGATTATACAAAGATACACACACGCCAAGAAAGTTCCTTGACAGCTGTGCTGCTGTGTTCCGTAGGAACAACTAGCTCGACGCGAAGAAGCCGTGTCAAAAGAACGGAATTGTGCTGGAGCCTGCAGTAGTTCTAGGGCCCACAAAACCCCATTTTAACTCTGATTCCACTGAATACCTATGTCTGGTTGTGCTTTTGTCCCATGTTTCAAGCTATGCGGCCGCACCCATATAGTTTTCTTAGCATATCTGGATATGTATAAATAATGCACATATATATATATACAAGTTGGGAAACCAAGGAACAAACAAGGACCAAAACGAAACTCCACCTGGTTGACAATTGACAGTGTCGCTCGAGCCTGTCCTTGTCCTTTGCCAGGAAGCCTGGGAACGAGTCCTTGCAGTCTGTGGCGAGCCAGAGAGCGATGCCAAGGAGTCAAGTTGGGTGGTCACCAAGCTGATTGCGTCCTTGAGATGTCTCTCTGCCAGGCTGCATGGGATCGTTTTCCTCCGCCGTTTTCGAACACAGGCCGGAAGCTGCACTGGGCCTGCTTCTTCGTGCCTGCACCATGAAGAGATCTTTCTTGCAGGAGAGACTGGACCCACATCTCTCACAGTGTATGACTGCTTGAGAGGCGTATGATCCGCGGTTGAGCGTCAAGTAGGGCCAAGTAGGGCCAGCCAGCTCTGCAAAAAGTTTCCTTTGAGGCTTGGCAGCGGCCAGGGAGAAGAACTGGTTAGAGGAGAAATGCATAGAAATGCCACCGGTGTCTTTGTGGGTATCTCCGGTTTCCTTCACACAAGACTCATGAAGCGGTCTGCGCAGTGAAAAAGGCCACTTGGGGGGTGGTCGTGCGTGCATCGCGCTAGCAGGACTATCACCTCTTTGACGTAGAAGCTTGGAAGCTTATGCGGGAGAAGTTCGACGCTTCCTGGTTGATTCCAGGCTGGCGCTGAACAAATAGGGGGGGTGGCTTCCTTATTGTCGGTTGTGCCCGAGCCTTGCGGAGCCTTGCCGCAAGTTGCCAGGCGAAATTTTGGCTATGGCAAACCCCTTGGGAACTTCCCAGAATCCGCGCTTTCCCGGACTACTGGAGAGAGGCCGGCGCAGCATGGTGCTGGTGCGGGACGGTCTGTGCGAATCTGTGCGATGCAACATCTGTGAGGACCTCCACCTGATCAGAGGCGGGAGCCTTACAACATAGGCTTACGAGAAGTTTCAATATGTGCCCTGGCATGAGTAGCGATGAGGCTGCCGGAAGAGTATCTGATAACCTCCGACTCGAGCAGGGACCTTGAAAAGCACATTGCCAAACTCACTCGCTGCATGCATTTGTTGTGTTGAGGTGGCAGCCTTGCAGCGCGCGCTGAGGCAAGCAAGTGTCATTGTTGTTGAAGTTGTAGGCACTTGGCATCCTGCCTATTTTTTTTGGTTGTCTTGTTCTGCTTTGAGGCTGCTGACTCGAAGCGACAAGGCCCTTCGGGAGGCCTGCGGAGGGTTCAGGAGGTAGAACGCAACACGGGACACACGGACACACTGGACACACTTCCAAGTTGCTGGTGGTGCAGACACGCCACAGGGTTTGCCAGAGAAAGGTGATGCTGGCAGCCTCTTCAACATTCCGGTGCCAGACGAGACTTCTAAAGGCTGGGTGAGAATTGAAGTTTCGGACAGCTGGGCTCCCCAAACCCTAAACCCTAAACCCTAAACCCTAAACCCTAAACCCTAAACCCTAAACCCTAAACCCTAAACCCTAAACCCTAAACCCCAAACCCTAAACCCTAAACCCTAAACCCTAAACCCCAAACCCTAACCCCTAACCCCTAAATGCCACGCGATCCCAAGAGCCCACGGGGCCTGGCATCGGTGGGCTGCTTCGATCTGCTTCGATGCGGCCTGCAGCTGGCCTTTGCCCAGTCCCCCAATGATGTCAAGCCCTAAGAGGCTTTATCCGTCCATGGAGGGGGTGGTAGGCGTGGGGGGGGGGGGGGGGGTGTCCATGGCTCTTGCGGGGGTAGGGGTGGTGAGGGGGTCTGGAGGTGGTGGGGGTCTGGGGGTTGGAGGGGTGGTGAGTGCAAGGTCCGGCTGTTGGGGGGGTCTACTAGGGGTGGGTCTAAAAATGGTAGGGTCTAGAGGTGTGGGGGTTTAGCGGTGGTAGGGGTGGTGGGAGGCGGTTTAGGGGTGGTAGGGGTGGTGAGGGTCTAGGGCCGGTTGGGGGTGCCAACGCGCAAAAAGTAAAGAGACTCACAAAAAACCCAGAAAAGCGCAAACCACGAGAAAAATGCAAACAACGAGAGAGCACCAAGCCAAAATCCAAAAAAACACAATATTTCAGGATTGTCTGCAGAGTTCCAAGAGATTACTTCTACAATTATGAACTTGTTTATTCATTTATTTATTTATGAATTTATTTATTTGTTTAGGTATTTATTTATGTATTTTTGTGTTTATTTCTTTATTTATGTGTCTATTCATTGTTTATTGACCATTTCTTCTTCTTCTTCTGCTTATTATTTGTTAGTTGTTATCCATTATTTTTTTGCTAATTAACTATTGCTATTCTTTTCTGGTTTTTGGGTTTTTTCGCGCCATGAATTCCAGGATTCCTGCGTTTTCGTGGTTTCTTCTGCTTTTTTTGTGGCACCGAGAGCTCAAGAGTCCCGGATTTTTTTTTTCTTCGGGTTCTTCGTAGGTTTCCTTTGACGAGTTTGGGAATTGGCCGCGAAATAAATTCAGGGACGCAGAAGTGCATGTTGTAGTTTCATGCAAAACAATACTGAATGAGGTAAAGTGTTTTACTAGAACGCAAAAGGTTTTATTGGGAAGCAGGGTCGAGGTGGAAGTGAGGGAGGCGGTGGGGGTGACAGATGCATGGAAACCAATACCAACGTGCACGGAAGATCATTCAAATCCCCCAAAATGGGGGAGATTTGCCCTTCCCAGGTCAGACGTACGGGGCTCCATGCTGTCCAGGGGGGGACACAGGGATCGGTGCCTTGTGGATGCAGGCTCGTCCTGGAAGCTTCCCTTTTCGAGGTTCGGGAACGTTGGCTTATTGCTGTGCATCTCGTTCGGGTCGATTTGAGCCAAGACCTGGGCAGCTAGGTCGGCGGAGCTCGAACGTCTGGAAGCAGACACCTTCATATCTTTGATGCTTCGGAGTAAAGTTTATGAAGTGACAAGGCCACATACTCAGCATCAGGGAGAGTGTTCCTGGGCAAAAACCTGCTGGTGACTGGATTGTCCAGGCTCAATTACGATTATGAATGCAAAGATCAAGACAAGTACGAGAAGGCACGCCCTCGCAACATTCGTGGATCGTGGTCGCTGTTTGGGCCCGCCAGGCATTTTTGAAGCACGGTCTTCGAGTTCATTACGTTCCTTTCACAGATGGGGACATTCCCTCCAAGGTCGCAGTCGCTGCTTCATCACCAAACGCCCGGAACGTAACAAGGGCAGACACGCAGTTTTTTGAACTTGCAGCAGACTTGCAGGCTGTCGTGCAGGAGTTCTTGAAACAATGTGCCCACCTCAGTTCGATGTCAATGTGGCTTTGATCAGTCCCTATCTGTGAACCCGCCGCGAAGGCAAGAAAGCCCTGCAGAAAGATGCGACAATTGCCCTCCACTGCATGGGAGGCATGGGGAGGCGTGGTGCTGTTGCTCGGTACCAGCGGGAAAGTTCTCGTGCTTCTCGCATATTTCAGGACGGGAGTGATGGCCGGTGTTTGCCTCAGGAGAAGGAACTGTCGCTCGTGTTCAATTTTTGGGGCGACAGCAATGCGGCTGCGGTGAGCCGCTGAAAGCATCCCGCAAAGCTCTCTCATCCATCTCTCTCTCTCCCTCCCTCTCCCGCATCGGTCATCCAGAACTAAGATGGCTCGCAGAAATTTGTGCGTACCAACAAACCGCCTTTGCAGAACTGGGCCAGAACAAAGCTGAATCTGTCGGCTGTTGGGGCATCGGGCATTGTTGGGGCCGATCAGGCCTTTGCAGGGCGGAAGCCGAAATGGCATAACAATCGCAATAAAAAAAAATAATTAAAAAGAAATGATAATTATAAAGGCAATCAGAGTTTTCCATGCATGTATACATATATACAGCCCTAAAGAGTGTTGGCCAAATTAAAGCTTTGAGTAGTTCGGCAGAGCTTTGACACTCAGCATGATTTGGTTTCGGGGGCAGATGTCGGCAGACTTTCAAAGTGCGACATGCGGGCATGTGCACAAAAAGTGCATATTCATCTATATCCCCCTTGGGAATTATTTCTTTGTTTATATAAAACACCAAAGGATATTAAAAATACTATTCTTATTAAGGTTCTAAGGGGAGGTATAGTCATGCGCAGCTACGCTTTGCAGCCCAACCCAGGCGCCCACGCGGCTGCACACCATCGCGTTGATGGGCTCCTGGGATCATCATAAGCTTTCTCATGGCGGTTTAGGGTTTAGGGTTTAGGGTTGAGGGTTTAGGGCTTCAGGAATCTTCATGCTGATGGCAGCATATTTTTGCCCATATGTGTGTTTTATGGCTCGTGGTCTGTAGCGAGGAAAGCTTTCCATGGCTGGACTCGCATATGCCGACCGGGCACCGTGCAGACAGTGAAGCAGGAGGCCGCATTGGCAACTGAAGAGATACAAAGCTTCCCATGTGAATTGCTGAAGTGCGAAGATGTTTCAAGTGATCGCCGACTTTCAAATGCCCAATTGCAGGGGGACAGCTTCCTCCCTTCAGGTGTTCCTGCGCAACTTGGACTGCCCCGACGTGCTCCGAGTGGAAATCTAAGTTTTTCGCTATGGCAGGACAGTAGAATTCCTGTTTGCTGGAATCTTCGAAAGGGGACAACACCTCTGAGGTTTCCAGTGTCAGGAGCCTGCTGGGACGAATCAGGCGCAACGCAATGATGGCAGCCGAGTAGGCCCTTAACCCTAAACCCTAAACCCTAAACCCTAAACCCTAAACCCTAAACCCTAAACCCTAAACCCTAAACCCTCAACTCTAAACCCTCAACCCTAAACCTTAAACCCTAGCCCCTAGACCCTAAACCCTAAACCGCCTAAACCCTAAACCCTAAACTCTGAACCCTAAACCCACTCCTTTCCAGGCTTGGATCCGGCTGCAGCTGATGTCTCTTCTTATGACCTGTGCTCAGTAATTCGTTCATACGTTTACCAGGAATATCCAGGAATCCTGGCGTCTCCTTCTTTTTAGACTTCTATTTTTCATTCGCTGTATTTGCGCACGTGCACAAAGTGCAAGTGCGCCCTGTTCCTGTCATTGGGTGCTGCTCCCCATGCAGGATCACCGGCCCGGAACTAGAGAGTTTTCATCTGCGTGCTTGTTGGTTGTTCAGTGCTGGGGAGTAGTTCCGGTAGAACCCACATGCCGCAAGGCATGAGGCTCAGGAAGGAATGCCATGGCTCAGATCTTCCACTCTGTCGTTTTCCCTCCGGCCGTCAGTGGGCACAGTGATGGGTACTGCTTCAGAGCAGTGTGCCACATTTGTAGCTTGAGAGAATACTTGATGCGGCAACCTCATGGCGGTTCTCACTCATGTGGTAGAAGGTCGGTATTGGCATGATGCTATTGCGGCTGTTCCGAAAGCATTCGTGTTGCCGTTGTAGCTTGCGGCTCTAGTGGCTGCAAGAGAGTTGCCCTGCACCTGCTTGTGGCGGACAGCTGGAAATGTCCTTGCGCGTGGTGCCACCATGTCATGTTGGGTGCCGTTCCTTCTTATCGCAAGCAAGCTGCAAGCACAGCTCCTAGACGGAGAACATGAAGCGTTTCTTGGCCGATTGCTGGTTCAGGCAACGTGGTTGCGTCACATCTGATCGAGACTAACTCCATCATGCCGGAAAGTTTAGTCTTCTCCAAGAGCTCAAGCTCCCGTGCCCTCAGTGTTGACCTCTCCATGGGCCCTCCATGGGCCTGAGCGGGCTCGGCAGCGAAGCTGGAGCCAAACAGGACACCACAATTGGAGAATATGATAAATATTCATGAATATTGATATTAATAATAATCATAAGTTGGATGTTGTTGGATGTGCTCTGCAGTTACAGTGTGCTTTTTTGGGTTATTTTTTCATTGCGCGAGGACTTATGGGGCAATCCTGCCAGGCATGCTGCACTGATCCCGTGCCCAAGAAGCTCATCCTGCAAACCAGGCGAGATCCATGATTGGGCGTTAACTTCTTCGAATGCGGAGCGCGGTTCAGGGTTTTGGGGTTTAGTGCTGCACTTTGGGTTTTAGGGTTGGACCGCTCGATTCCTGTTATCCTCTTGATTTTTCTGGCTCATGTTGTCTTGTTTTTTGGCCGTGCTGTCCTGTTTTTGACTTGTTCTTCTTTGTTTTCGGACTCAGTCCATTCTGTTTTCGACTATTTTGCTGTGCTCACCAACCACCCCTCTCCTGTTTTAACATTTGAATGACCGATGGGCCTGTGTGACCTGGTAGGGCATCTGAACACTGGCACAAGCTAGCCAACGGCAGTTACTGCTAGCACGACTCCCCTGTAGTGAGCCGGCAGTTTCTGTTTTCGGCTCTTGCCCGTTGCTCGGTTTCCTCTTCGCTTTCCCCACGATGTGTCTTGATTGAGGCGGCTATTTCATTGTATGCAGTCGGTCAATGCACGGATTCGTGCACGCTGCTTCGATGCGCATCCCCGCTTTTGCGATGTCTCGCCGTTGCAGAGTTACATTTCGGTATTTTCACCTGGAAAACATGTAGGTGTAGTAAGAAGTCGGTTGCTAGGTGGGTGCCAAGCATCGTAAGCGTCGTGAGCATCGTGAGTGTCGTGAGCGGCTTCCGAATCAAGACAAAAGCATGGGCGGTTTGAATCAAGGAAGCACGACTAGTAGTGGTAGCCGGTGGCTCCAAGTTGTATTTGACAGGCCAGCCCCGAGAACGAGGTGTGTGTTGCGGCCCAAGGTCAGGCCCAACCTTATTGAGTGATGTAGGTCATTCCGACCAGCTGACTCCAAAGCAGCCATATTTGCATGCCAAGCTGTGCCCCAACAGCTCTTGCAGTTGCACAAGGTCGGTCCTCGAAGTGGAAGAGGAGGTACAGGACTTGAAGTGAGACTCTGAGCCGTTGCGAGCATAAGCTTGCGCAGGGAACTTTGGCATGTAAAGCAATCCGCACCTGTGCGTTGCCTTTTGCGCGTGTCAAGCAGTTTCGGGCTTGCTTTGGAGGCATATGCGCCCAGAATGTGTTTCTCAGTTTTCTGTTGTGTGTAGGCACAAGCAAGTGACAAAGCATCCCTTGGCATTCCAGCTGTGCGTTGTATATTTCCCTTGCGCTCAGGGGCTTCGCAATTTTCTGCGATTCAGGACCGAACACACTTGCCAGCACACGCGTCACTGTCACAACAAGCAGTCACGCAACACACACTTTCTTAAGCAGTGAGATTCTGGAAGGAGAATTTGATGAGGAACCGCATCCAGCCATGGTGCTGCAGGCATGGGTCGGGGTGAGGGCTAGGACTCGGAGTGCTGGGGGGGGGGGGGGGGGGTGTCTTGTAAGATCTTGCGCAGGAGCCGCTTGCGGTCAGAAAGGGCCACATTGCTGAATGATGCCCCAGTCTTCGAGCCGAGCCGGCCAGGATGTTGGTGCGGTGGACATATGGACATGAGTTGGAATCTTCGAAGTGCCGGGCGCCTGCGGATGTTCACACTGTCCCTCACCCCTTCAAGCAGAGTTCACCAAAGACAAGGCTTCACATCAACGCATGCCTTAAGACATGCTGATATGGTTAGACCACATTGTGAAACCATTGTGCAAGTCGTGGGTATGCAACCCAGCCTTTCGCAGCCATGGGGGCAGCCGCTGACACAGCCGCAGTCGGTACACATAACGCCACGTGTTGAGGGAATCTTCGATTTGTGCCCGTGGTGCCGCAGTCTGTATACGCGCAACTCTGATTTCTGCCACAAGTGTGGTGAGCAACGACATCCCTCGCAAGCTACCTTTTTGGATGATGTGCCGGAGTGCGCGCAGAAACTGCAGACACCTCTCCACACGGTCATTGAGGAGTCCTCGATTGAAGGAATGTCCAGTATGTTGTCGTCACACCCGAGATCCATCTACGAGCTGCACGATCCATTGATGCGGATGGGTGTCCTCAGCCAAGATTTTAGTAAATGTCCGCATTGCCATGACACATACCCAGCAGATGCAGTATTTTGCCAGCAGTGCGGCCAGCCCCGTGAGTATGACAGTGAGGGCAATGAGCTGGTTTACATCCAGGCGGAGTATTTGTCAGTGACAGATCCGGAAAGGAGGGCGCAGCTTGAAGAGGTGAAGGCCATGCTTCAGCTCATGCTAGAAGGTCGACCCGATCTGGGCTATATGGGTGATAATGATGTAAGGCCTGAAGCGGCGCCGAATGGCTCGTCTCCAGCCGATGTGTTCGAGTACAAGGGGTGGGTTCGCAGTCCCGATTCCACATTTGTGACAAGCGCTCCGGACAGACAGGGCACGCGTTCATTGGATGACACGGGTTCGATGCCTTGGGAGCAGACGTCCCCAAAGCTGCAGCTTTTTGACCTTTGCCCCTGCGGGAGCCTGCACTTGCCTGATGCATGGTTCTGTCACCGGTGCGGCGCACGGAGGCTCGGGTCAGGCACCAACCCTGGCTCTGCAGCACAGTTGCGTTTCACTGAAGAGGTGCTGGCAGCGAGGCAGTGGATCGATCACAGCACCGCAAGTGCTGAAACGATTTCGCTGACATACGATGCTTGTGAGCCGCAATATGAGTCGGACATGAATTGGTTCGAGTGGCTGACATTGATCCCGTCTGAGACCCCGGCGGAATCAGGGGAATCGCACTTCATTCGCCAAGACTGGAACATTGATGACATGCATCACGCTCCACAGAAGCGAAGATGGGCTGGGAAGCACCATGAGTCAATCACTGGCTGTGCAATCCCCACTCTTCCGACCGCTGATGAGCGGTTGACGGGTGATTCCCCTGATCCTTGCAATCTGATGTAGTCTTATGCCGTGTAGGGCGCAGAGTCAGCCGGAAGCTGTTCAAGCCCGCTGTGCTCGCCGCCGTGGCTAGCGCTGTTCTCGTCGCCGCGGCCAGATGAAGGTCCAAAGGACAACCCTGTGGCTGCCCTGCCACATCCTCGCGCGAAATACTTGTGCTTTTGCGATCCCCAAACCCTTGGTGCGAAATTTGGCGCTGGGGGGACTCAATCGGCAGCAAAGAAAATGAACTCGCTGTTGCTGGTTCTAGATTCTAGCTCGGTGGCTGCTGCTTGGTTGCTTGAGAGCTGCTTCTTTTGCGGGCAGGCCTTGCGAGCGATTTGCGAAGCCGGTGAAGCACGCTCTCCCGGCCTCCTCCTCCCCCCCCTTCCCCCGTAATTGTCCATGCAAAAACATGTCGGCCTGACGTGCGGCCTGACGCAAACTGCGGAGGCCGAAGTTTTGCATGGCAGCACTTGTACTTCACACGTTGTGCCATTCGATCGAGAAAACGAGAAATGTGAGGTGCAGAGAGTGACAGCTGCCCTTGTTGTGTCGAGTGATTGCCAACATGGCAGTGAGCCTTATTCGAGTCGAACGCATGGGCCTGTCAGCTTTTAGGTGTGTTTGTTTGAACAACTGAGAGGAGCCACGCAGCACTTGCAAAGATTACATTCTTTCAAAGCAAGTCCGGCAACAAACAACACAACTCAGCAGACGTGCGTAGTAAGTATCCCTCTATCTCTCTCTCTGTCTTTCTCCACCTCTCTCTCTCTCTCGCTCTCTCTTTTTTTTGTCCCTCCTTTCCATCCTCTCTTCTTTGCATCTCTCTCGTTTCTCCGTGTGTCTTTGTGGGCCTCGGGCGGCCGGCTCGAGCTCTCTGCTGCTCTCCAACACAAAGGCACAGGGGAGAGTGGTTTGCAGAAGGGCGTCGTGTTGCTGGGAGGGGGGGCCCCATAATATGATTTGGGGGGAGGGGGGCCCCATATACTCGGGGGCCCCATACTCTGCTGGGCATCATGTTGGGGGGGTCATATTGGGCTCTAGGGTTCAAGGTCTAGGGTTTATTGGGGGCGGCAGGCATCATGCTCGCGGACGTGCGGCGCTGGTGATGGCTGGGATCTGAAAAGCTTCCCCGAATGTGTGGATGACGCTTTCGTGCGCTTTTCCAGGCACCAGATGACCTTGGCTATGCTCCTTCAGCGCTGGAGGTCCAGACATCACTTACATAAATTGGACTCGGCTCCATCTATTCTACGTTGTGCTCAGGCACCCCGCATCGTCCCACGCGCATCTCGATTCGCCGCAGCTGTGTCTTGGAAGCACGACTCAGCTCAGTGCGCGTTCGTGATCCCTCATGCATCGCCTCGCTGAGGCGGCGAACGATGGAAGTCTCTGCGTCCCCGAGGCGAATGTTCAGGTCATTCAGACAGACCAGGTGCACTCGTCGAGTTCTTGCAAATTTATAAGTGTGAGCTTAAGAGCTAAGAAGATGTCGCAGGCTACGCCACATCCAGAGGTCGCCGGCTCAGGGCATCCTGTTTTTGAACGGAGTCTTTTTCCTCACTGTGACGGGAAGACCTCACAAAGCATGGCGCCTTGTTGCCACACTTACTGTGCATTTTTGGATCGCTGATATGTGGCAGAGCCTAAGGGGCCTAAAGGCTTTATGCAGGAATTGATGGCACCCACCGCTCGAAGTTCCAGACCCTGCAACTAGCGACTAGCAAACCCGAAGCTGTGAGAATGCGTGGTGGCCAGAGAACTGTTACTGTCCTCTTAGTCAGATGCCATCAAAGGATGCAAACCGAAAGCAAGTTAGTGCGAAGATGAGGAGGTGAACCGGAGATCCAGGTTAACTTTGAGAAGAAGAAATGGTGAATTCGGAGACCCTTGACTACAGAGTTGTTACTCTTGAAGCCTGAAGACTGTGAGAGTATGTGAGATGTGGCTATTGCCACGCTCAGGTTTCAGCTTCTGATGGCTGTGGCTCACTGCAGGACAAGCTCAACTAAGCTGTATGCAAGGTATCTCTTGGGGCCTTAATTCCCTGTCGTACACGAAATCAGATCCCCCTTGGTGCTGCATTGCTCCAGCTGTTGTTCCCAGGGTCTTCATCCCAATCGTATCAGTTAAAACCAAGCACGGCAGAGTCCAAGAGCAAAGCCGGCAAAAGGCTTCTTTTGAGCTTCATCCAACAGAGAAACGTCGCTGTTGGCTGCACACTTCTGAAGGAAGCTCTGCTAGCAGGGATGCAAGTTGTCTTTCACTCGGCTCTGCTCTGCAAGTTGGGACTGCTAAGTCACATGGTGCATTGGCAATGAACGCGAGGGAGATATGGTGTCTGTGCTGTGCCCACTCTCTAGTTTGAATGCAGTTTGACTGCATTTGAAAAACACGGATCGAAAAATGGATCGATTGGGAAATAAACGGCGTCGTTCTCGGCTGATCTTCCGAGAGAGAAAGCAATTCCCATGCCCCCCCCGGAGATCCCCGGAGCCTCGCAGCTTCGGAGAGCCCGAGGCTTCCAACAATGGCTTAGAGAAGGGCTTTGGCTGAAGCGGCTGAGCGCAAACACATGGTGCAAACACATGGTGCAAACACATGGTGCAAACACATGGTGCAAATGCTGTTCAGTAGCTTTCACCATCTGGTCCAACAGTGTGTTCCGCCAGGGTATTGTGGTCAGCACCTCCACACGCCGAGACACGTGACTTTCAGGAGCTGCGGCATCAGGCACATCTGGAGTGGGAAGCCTAGGCTGCTCGTATCTGTTTGTGGTCACAGATTAGTCACAGCTTTTTTTGGGTGGGGATTGGTGAAGAGTCGACTGCTGAGGCAGCAGTTGCTGCAAAGCCAGCTGCAGCAATTGCAAGGGCCGCAAGGGCTTCCAAGCTTGAATTTGTTGTTTCCAGAACCCTTTGCGGCCTTTAGATTGCCAGCTGCATTGCTCTTAGCGCCTGCTTTCTGGCTTTGGACGCTCAGTTGAGGACCGAAGGAAGTTTGGGTGGACTGCCGCTGCAACAGCCACTGCATCCAAGCCAGCTCTCACTCTTCCAGCCCTTGCGACAAAGTGATGTCCCAAACATCTGGGCTCCACACGCGCCATTGCCGGAGAGCTGCCACCAGTCGCGCTTTGGCCAACCACTGCAAGATCCGCTGAAAGCACAGCCAAGTCCGTGCGTCAGTTACCAGATGGCGCCACCACCCTCCTGGTGCCAACATGGGAACCCCGCTGCATGCCCCAGCGCCAAAGCACCGGGAGCACCCGACTGGCAAATGGAGCCGCAGATGCCCAAGATTGCAAGATTCTGCCCCAAGTGGAACCTCCCAGTGTCGATGTCTCTGTGGATTTTGAGTCCCGGATCTGAGGAGCACCTGGATTCACGGCTTCAACGAAGTGCCTTCCCTCCTGCCACCTGGCCAGAATCGCAGACAGACAGCTCTGAACAGACCGCACCTGGCTCCGAAGGCCTCCCCGTGGACTGGATGCGCCAAAACTCATGCTGAAGCCTTTGGTGCCGCCTGCACAAGTCTCGGTGACTCAGCTTCAGGTTGTTGACCCAAAGAGCCCAATACCGCTCAATGAAGGAATACTCTTTAAATCATGATAAGGATCCCTTTATAATTTAAGCTACATTCCTTAATTAGGGGGTATTGGGCTCTCTGGGGAGTCGTTGTCAGTCATTGGTCTTGCCGCGTCTTGCTGAGTCTTACATTATCACGTAGCGTTCCCAGGCTGTGAGGCCTGCATCGCGGCGTCTTTGTTGGGTGGTTCTCAAAATTGGGGTCCTTTTTTGGGCTCTTGTTTGAAGGGTGCTGTACTCTACAGCAGGCCCAAGAAGGGATCCTAATGTGGAGAGCAGCTATTGTGATTCTTGTGAGTTGAGGCTCCATTGCACGGATGCGGTGTCGAGAGCCTCAGACCGCCCCAAGCACAAACACAAGGACAGCAAGGACAGGGTGTGCATGGGTGTGCATGGGTGTGCATGGGTGTGCATGGGTGTGCATGGGTGTGCATGGGTGTGCATGGGTGTGCATGGGTGTGCATGGGTGTGCATGGGTGTGCATGGGTGTGCATGTGCAGAAGTCCTCTGTATGCCTGTACAATCCCGAATCTCAATGGCTTGCAGGATGGGTACTGGCACAAGACCCAGCATCTGCATCCTTCGATCGTGCCGCTGGGCCTCAGCAGACGAAGAGTCCCGAATATGGATTCTTCCGGAATAAACGCATGCCTCTTTTTCGGAGGAGTCGCAAATCTTCTCATGGAAATGGAAGATGCTTTGCAAACGGATAGCGAGAACTAGAATTACTGACGAACAATGCCCGTATGGAAGGACCTGTGTGCACTGTAGTATGTGGTCCTGTGTTTAGTTTACGGTTTTGATTCGAGGTTGGGCAGTGACGGTGACTCAAAGTACCTGCATGGCTCAACGATTGCAGGTTGAGGCAGTTAGTTCCCTTTGGGTGCATTGCCCCTTGGTGATATGTTTGCTCGTTTAGACAAAGCACTCAAATGGTTAATGAATCCAGTTGGTTTTCCACTTTCCGAAACTAAGCCTGGTCATCTATTGTTGTCGAGAACTGAATTTAGTAAACGGTCTTAACTTTTAAATGGCTTGTTCTTTTCTTTCCATTGTGTATACTTTGACTGACTGCACTTGAATTACAGTTGTTTGTTCCAGTGCCGTGGCCATGAACAGTATGTCAATGGCTTTGCAAGCACTTAACGATGCAGACTTTGTTGCTTGAACTACATGCCATACATCTGATGTTGAAGAAAAATGCACCAATTCGCAGCAGACTAGCCTTTTGAATTACTCCAAGGTCCAAGCAGAAGGTGCTACATACTGCTGTAGAGACCATTCCACGGATGTTGTGTTGAACGTGTGTGCGCAGCGCGATTGGGAACTAAGTTTGGACCTGGGCCCGTGCCACTGGAGCGCCGCAGCTCCATCAGCCAATGGGTTTAGGGTTTAGGGTTTAGGGTTTAGGATTCAGGGTTCAGGGTTCAGGGTTTTGTGATGCATGTCCATCCGCTTTGCTCGCTTTGACTTCAGGCATCCATGGTCCAGGGGAGCAGGTGGGACACTGGACTTCGGCACGGATCCAGGCTGTGGACCCAGATACGCAACCGGTGAGTAGGCTTGTTCTCAGAATCGGTTCGCTATGTCTCGTGTTCAAGACATTTCATGGCTTAGGTCTAAATCGCCTGGCAGGCCGAACGCCAGAAACTTCCACATGCGAACAGAATAAAGGTGGCAGCTCCTGCTCGTTGCAAGTAAAGGTTCCCTTCTTATCCAGTGCGAACGTGTGAGTCTTGTAGTGACCTAGTGTGCACTAAGCGAGGATAGCAGGCTGTCTTGTTCTCAACCAGCGTGTGCCACCAGTCGAGTTGACACCGATGCTACTAGCTTTTTTGTCATCAACGTGGCACCCATGACCACGTTGTAAAGCTGCAGGTGTCAGTGCAAAACAGGACAAGGAGATCCTGGCCACACTGCATTCCAGTGGCTTCGTGCGTACCTGAGGTCCTAAGCATACGCTGCGCGTTTCAAGAGGCCGCTGTAGCCTCCTTGCAAGGCTGTTGACCTCAGCGCCGACTCTCGGTGCCTGCCTTGATGGGCTGATGGGCCTAGTGACTGTCGGGGAGATGAAGCCTGCAGTTGCAAAGGCCGGACCTCAGCCAGGTTCTCGACACCATGGTTGCCACGCAGGCACCGTTCACAACATTCCATGGGTTCGCGGAGTGCCCACAGGAAATCCCCTCATGGGGGTGGGGACCTTTGAAGTAAATAGTCTTGCCGGTGTACGTCAGCCGGAGGAATGCTGTTGCAAAATGTTGCGCCAGTTCCTAAAGAAGCATCCAAGCAATGCCCGGGCCCAAAACTGTCGCCCGGCCAAAGCAGTTGTATTGGGTCACCCAGGTTTGCAACGTCATCGCTCATTATCGTCATCGTCATCATCATCATCATCATCATCATCATCATCATCATCCTGGCTCTTCCTCCTCCTCCTCCTCACCATCATCATCATCATCATCACCATCCTGGCTCATCATCATCATCATCATCATCATCATCATCATCATCATCATCATCATCACCATCATCACCATCATCATCATCATCATCTTCGTCGTCATCGCTATCGTCGTCATCATCGTCATCATCATAGTCATCACGCGATGCCTGGCCGTAAGCTAGCCTGACAGGGCAGCGCTCACAGCGGGTTCGATGCTGCAATGGACAGGGCAGCTCAGCGTAGACCTCATGTCACCAGCAGCGGTTGAAATGTTCACGGTGCCGCTGGTTTCATGCAGTTGCCTTTGGCGTGATTAAGGCCAAGCGAGCTACGATGTGGAGCACAAGTCACAAGCGATGGAGCTTCTCATGCTTCCTGTGGCAACCTCAGCGCCTGCTGCTTTTAAAGTGCACTGGTCTAAGCGCAAAGCGCCAGGCCTCCATTCGACGTCCAACCCGAGCAGACCTTCCAAGCCAGGTGGCACAGGATATCACAGGATGCTACAGGTAAAGAGTCGCCAAGTAGTCGCCAAGTTCAACGTTCCCTGTGCTCTTTTTCCGTACCTTCCGCGCCTTGTTCTTTCGAGGCCAGGCCCAGCTGGCCATGCAGAGGCCGAGACTTCCGAAACACAGCGAGACACAAGAGTGTCGAATGTGGTCGTGCTGGGAAAATGCAGCTTTTTCCCAGGTGCTTCGAAGTGGCCCGATGGTTGCTGCAGAGGACTCTTCCAATGTGCCGTGAGAATCAGTGGGACCTTGAGACGGGCGCTCGCTCTAGGAGTTCTTGCGCAGCTACAGACCTCAAATGCATCTGCAAAGTCCGGATCCCAGGGCTGGGCTCAACATAGACGCGAGGCCTTGTTTTCGGGCATCTTCATTCGCCATGGCACGAGGTCTGATGTATCCAAGCCTGGAGCCGCAGCTTTTCGGGTGAAGCTCTGCTCACTGTATTTGACATCCCAGAGGGTGTATGCTTGAACTTCTTACAGTTCTGGCTTTGGAGCATGCAGCCGCCAACCCAAACATGACAAAGCCGGCAAACATCATCTGCGCCACCGGAGGACTACATGTGGTTGGACGTTCGTGTGCACGCCACGAAACCAACTCGAATTGCCACCTGGAAACCACCAATTCCCGGCATATCCCGGGATCGTCCTTGCCTTCGGAGTCCTGTTTTTCTCTACACAGTGTGTCAACGCATGTCACCACTAAGGGGTGCGAACCTGCCAAGTCACAGGATAGGCGAGCGCGTGGCGACCATGGTTGTTTTGAGGTCGCTCCCTGTTGGACGAAAATTGCACTCTCGTCGCTTGCCAAGGAGCGTGCGTGGCCACGCTCCTCGTCCTCGAAACTGTTTTGGACGTTTGGGCTCACGAAATGTGAGGACGGTCATGCTTTTGAACCTCTGGTCTCAGAATGATGAAGGCGCCTGCGTAGTCGGTATTCTTCTTCCAGCATTTGGCTAGAGATGAGATTGAAAACTGTGTGCTAAATGGGATGTTCGCACACGCGTGCAGAGAAAAGAGATGGCCTGTGCAATGACCAGAGCACCCATCTCGCAGGTGGCAGGTTTTTTTTAACCCTTCAAGCACATGCGTGTATGGAAACAAGCTGGCCAGTGCAATGATGTCTGAACCAAAGCAGGGTTGTGAAGTCAAAAGCCTTCCTTGCACTTTGCAGAGTCGGTGTGACGGCCTAGATGGTGCCAAAGTTGACTTCACCGAGCTGGCTCCTGCCCGAAGCCCAGCTCAGCTTCAGTCGCTCTTCTGGTGAATCGTGTGGGCGCAGCTGAGGTCTTGAGGGCCGTGGCTTTGGCAAACTCCCAGCCGGGATGGCAGGACGGACAAAATGGTGCAAGAAGTTGCGGACCTTCTGGGCCCAGGTCAGCTCCCAGGATGCTCCAGGCCATCGAATCTGGCTCCCATGCAACATGGCATCGTTCCGGTCCGGTATTTCAGCTTTTGGGTTCTGACGTCCAAGCGCCCGGAGCGGCCCATGCCGTAGGCTGAAGCTGCCACGCATGCGCTAAGGTACGCACGGCGCTTCAGGTTTTCCGGGAGTGCCACAGATGCAAGAATCGATTTAGTACTCGCGAGGTATGGCCAAACACATGTGCATGGAGCGGGATGGAAGGAATTTGATCAACACATGAACTTCCAGCACAGTGTGGCCTTTGTTAAGTTGTCGCGTCGCGGGAGATGATAGGGGGAACAAAGTTTTTAGCCAGCCAGCCCTAGACTGGCTGAGGTTTTTCCTGTTCGTCCAACAGAGCATGTTGAACAGTCTCCGGAACCTCAATTTCTGGCGGAGAAGGTGGCAGTGCAGACACGTCATGACCTTTTCACTGACTCACTGAGTCCCTAGTTGGTAGGCTGCAAATCTGGGCTGGAAAGTGGCTGGAATGGATGGCTTGCAGATTTCAGCACCGTTCAGTTGCAAGGTGCGATGCACATGGTTGTGACATCCTCAGCACTGTGAGACTTATGGTCACATTCCACAGTCTTGTCTCCATGGCCCAACTGACAAGGTGGCTTCCTCACGTGGAGCAACGGTGGCATACGGGACTTCGTGTGGGCCCTGGTCTTCTGATGTTCTGACACTTACTATCTCTTGTTGCCTTCCTGCTGCCAAAGGTGATGTCTGTTTTCATTCAGCTTGGTCTTGTGCCACCAGCCGAGCCACTTGTCTACAACAGCTGCGTCGTTTGTGTGTGGGGCGCGTGCGTGTCACAGGATGCAGACGTACGCGGCACATACCCTTTTCGACATGAACAGGACATTCGTTGAAGAGTAAGAGCATGCACAATATGGTACTGTCCTGCCCGCGGACTTTTTTGTGCAGGACCATGTGCCTATCAGCTTGCCTGGACCTTATGTGACGGACCTTCTCCAGCGACCCTCAATCCCCAGCAGCCCGAATCCTTCCTCTCATGCGCAAGCCAGGTCATGGCAGTTCTGCAATACTCAGCATGTGCTATATTGGGTCCTGCTTGAAGCTGTTTTGGGTTCCAGTCAGCGGTGCTTTCGATGGTGAGGTGATTGCCTCTGTCTTACGGACACGCTCTTGCGTGTCTGCTACCGAGATCTGTAAATTTCTGCACGTTGACATGAAATCAAGCATATCAAGCCTTTGAGTGATGTTTGCATTCTTTGCATTCAGGCAATTTTCCTGTTCAACTCTGAGGGCGAGGCGGCCCGAGAGCATGGCACACGAATGCAAGTAGGCAGGGCTCAGGCATGGCTTAGGCAGGGCGGAGGCAGGGCTTTGGCAGGGCTTTAGGGATGTTTGGTGTTGTGGGCTGGCTTCCCGATGTGTTTCAGTCGCCAATGTGGCCGCCAACATGAACAAACCAGCCGGTGAGTTCTGGGCCCCTCCCAATGGGTGGACAGTGTTCCTGAGAAAATGGCATCTCCTGAATTGCATCTCGCCTATCGGACTATCGGTGCTTTCCGTGGAATTCCTCGGAATGCAGGTATCTTACGAGGTCTCGTCCATTCGTAAGCGCGAGAAGCATACAGCCCCACATGATTTGCGACAAGCGGCGTTTTGGTATGTTCCAGATCACGACAAGCAATGCCGCTTCGCTTAGTTTTGGCCACGTTAACATTCGTCCCTTCCAAAGCACGAACAAGCCTGCCACATCCTATGACTGCGCGCGCACCCTAAACCTTAAACCCTAAACCCCAAACCCTAAACCCTAAACCCTAAACCCTGAACCCTGAACCCTAAACCCTAAACCCTAAACCCTACACCCTAAACCCTGAACCGTATACAAAGTGGAGTTGAGCTGCGAGGCCGAGTCGGTCGCCAAGGCTGCAGCTAAAGCTCGTCCAAGCACGAGCCCTCCACAACGAAGACTGCCTCGTGTGGTCCCGGTTGCAGAGGCGGATTGACTGCTGACATAAGTTGACATTGGCATGGGTGGCAGATTTTGCCATGGTGTTTGTGAGCTTGACATATCGGGCCTCTCGATAGGAGCTGGCAGAAGCTCAGGCCGAGACCGACAGGCTGAGGCCATCAGAGCTCCCTGCAACATTTGCCCAGTGTGCCTCACTTTTCTGGCCCAGGCGGGAGCTTGCCGCTTTGTCGCAGAGGGCGCGCTTTTCTTATTCTCAAGTGCTTCCACTTCTAATCAATGCCCCGCAACGCCTATGGAAGGGCCAGGGAAAGAGATTCGCCCACAAAGTATTCTTGGGGTTTTGAAGATGGCTTTCTCACGGGGCGGAAGGCACAGGGGGCCGGACTTCCTCCGGACATGGTATGGACTTCCAGGAGGCGGCTAGGAGGCTGCTAGGAGGCTGCTAGGTGGAAGAGGTGAATGAGCCCTTGTGCATGCCATGATGCCACACAGTGCCATCGTGTGTGCATTCAGAATACGCAGAAATAGCAGAAACAGCTTGCGGAAAGTTGCGCTAATCCGTGCTAAGCCACGGACTCAAGTGACTTCAAAGATGAGGAAGAGCTGCGAGCTGCAGAAGCACAAGCGGATGCCATAGACACTGTGGATGGCATCGAGAGCGAAGTGCCGGGGCCGAAGACGAAAGGCTCTCAGGAACGATAGCAATGCACAAGCAACTTGGAATGGCCAGGCTGGCCCACGAACCCACGGTCTCTGCAGGCTGACGAAGAACTCTGCGCTCATGACAACGCACAGTCCATAGAAAGCCTCTTGCAGGTACAGGAGGACATGCTGCAAGCGAAACAGCTGTAGCTTGCTTAGTTTGGGGCTCCAAATTCTTGACAGTGCGATTGTGTTTGTCATGAGAGCTACCTGGAAAAAGTGTTTTCGCTGAGGCATTGGTGTGGACGGCAAGGGCACATGCTGAGAACAGCCGATTGGAGAAGGAGTTGAAGAGCCTGCGATCGCTGGCGTCCAGGCCACTTTTGCACATCCAAGGCTTTTTGTGGCCGGTACCGGAAAGAATCCAAGTGCCAGGCAACGTGGTGAGGTGCAGTGGCTGCACGATCTGCGAAAGCAGCTGAAGACAACATGCCGCCAAGAGGCTCCCAACCTCCATTTCACACGATAGAAAATGGTGTCCTATAAGTGTTTTGTCCTATCGTGCTTCATCGTGAGCAGTGTTTTTGATGTATTCCTCGCAAATGAAGGAGCTGGAGCGTGAACACCAACAACTCGTGGAATTACAAGAGGACTCCAAAATTGACTCTACAAAGTCAGAAAGATGTTTGGAGTGCTGATAGCATGTTTCGGGAGGATGCTGCCGAGGCAGAGCAGGAGCGAGAGCTGGAGCGGCGGCGAGAACAACGACTTGAAGCCTTGGTACAGGCAGCAACTCGAAGCAGTTTCGAAAAAAACAGTATCTGTCCACGTGATGAACATTCGCCAAAGCCAAAGCGCGAAAAACCTCCAAACCGTGATCATGAATGCCACACTCTACACGACTCGAAGTCCAATGAACCAGTTGGGGGCAGATGCTGAAGCACGTCCGTGCCGGTGTGCAGGAGCGCCAAGAGCGCCGCAAGCGCATCGAGCAGCGCGAACGGGAGCTTCAAGAGCAAGAGCTTGCTCACGCACCTTGCCACGAGAAAGTTGCATTCACTTCGATGGAGTCAGCTCCTGAGACACTGGCAGGAACATGTGCAGATAGACCCAGGATTTGGAGCAGCAGCGGCTCCTGCGCAAAGAGCAGGTGCGCACGGAGTCCGAGGGCGCTGTGCTTACTCTTGCAACACGCATTGCAAGGACCTGCAGCTGCGAGAGAAGGAGCTTCAAAAGGAAAGGGAGAGGAGGCTGCAGCAGGCAGAGGTGCCTCCCGCTGACCCCATTCGTGGCCTTCTGGAAACCCTAAACCCCAAACAGCCTAAACCCCAAACCCGAAACCCCAAACCCCAAACCCTAAAACCCTAAAACCCTAAAACCCTAAAACCCTAAAACCCTAAAACCCTAAAACCCTAAAACCCTAAAACCCTAAAACCCTAAAACCCTAAAACCCTAAAACCCTAAAACCCTAAAACCCTAAAACCCTAAACCCTGAACCATAAACCCTAAACCCTAAACCCTAAACCCTAAGCCCTAAAAGTCAAGATTTAACAGCTCTACTTGGCAGGTGCAGCACATCTTGTGCGACCTCAGCCTCGAGGTTCAGAGAACTTGCAGTGACATTTGAACTAATTAGGCCCATTGGGTTGTTTCCAACGAGTGGATCACACAGAGTCCCTCTTGACAGACTGTTCATACTTGAGCCCTTTGTACGAATTCATTGAAGGCACATAGCAGTGACGTATCATACTCCACCTTTCGGCAATGGCGCTGAGAAAAGGGTCCGATGCATTCAATCGACCAATTCAATTGGGGAGAAGTTCAGAGCATCAAGTTGGAGCAGCAGGCAGGACTCTGCATTCCAACTTGGTAGCGGAGCTGGCTGGTCAGAACCAGGCCAGTTCCGGATACCTTTGGCGTGGAATCCTCGGATTTGTGCTATTCTTGGTGGCTTTCCTGTCACTCGTGGATACATATCTGGACTTCGAGTGGGAAGGTGACCAAGTACACAAATTCTTGGATTCTGCGGACGAGCCCAATATCAGCCTGCAGAATACGTCGAGTTTGGCCTCTTGGCATGACAGAATTCGAGATGAAGTTGTGCGGGAGGTGATCGCGGAACTACGACAGGTTCTGAATGACGACAATTACAGCATGGACGGAAACGCACTGGAGCTTTTGCAACGCCTGACTCTTCCTGAGGTGTCGATGGCCGGACCAAGTACAGCAGTGGTTTGGGCCAGTGACAAGTCAGAAGCAGATCAGGCGAACAGCCAAGCGATGATATCGGCTCCATTGCGTAACTGGACAACGTGGCGCACACGTCGTCAAAGACGGAATCTCACGTGGAACGACTACGACGCACTGATCAGACCAATTGGAGCGTTCAGACGACTACAGGACAAGAACCTGCACAAGCGACGCTGGAAGTGGCAAGGCGCGAAAACCGGACGTGGTCGAGTTTTGAGCCATCGCACATGGCTTATTCTTGAAACGTTGGCTAGTGCAGCGTTCGCCGCCTCTTGGTTGTGCGGGATGATCCCTGGCGGATTTCGTGATGGAGGGCCTCGTCAACATGCCCATGTGGGTGACGCAGGGCCACCGTTCATTGGAACGGCTACCCTGAAGGTACCGCCGGCGTGGTCAGTGGAGAGATCGTCCCACTACAGCCTCAGGTCCTGGATCTCCGACTTGGTTCTTTGGTCCTCAGCTACAGACATGGACGTGCAGAGATGGGGGCCAGTGGCAGCATTGCAAGTGACGGGTTCAGCCAGAGAACTCGTGAGAGAGCTAACCCCTGAAGTCTTATCCCACGGAATCGTAGACCCTCAAACTGGCCAACACATAAGTGGTTTAATGGTTTTAGTCCAGACCCTAGCCCAAAGATATGCCCCCCTAGAGCAAGAAGTGAGCACCAAATCTGTGGCAGAGTTCATGGCTTTTGCCAAGCTTCCCAATGAATCCGTAGACTCCATGCTTGTTCGCTTTGACGTGCTTCGGAATCGTGCCGCGCAAAGAGGGGGCTTGGCTTTGAACTCATCTGGTCTTGCATGGGTTTTGTTGCGTGCTTTGCAGCTCCCTCCAGAGCTCATGGACCGTTTGCTGGCACCAATCGGAGGCCAGCTTCCACAGAACGAAGGTCAACTTACTGAGTTAATGGGTCGGATACGCAGACAAGGCCATTTGTTTGAGCATGGTTTTAAGGGTGCCGGTCGTCAAGGGGCTACAGGGGATCCGGGAGCGTATTTTTTCCCAGTGTTTGAGCAAGGAGCAGGGGAAGGGTGTGCAAGTAGAAGTGCATATGGCTCTGCATATCCAAGCTACACTGCTTCGCCGGCATGGACTAATGCCCATCAAACTCCCCTAGCACCAACAGGCGCAGCTCCCGTTTCCTCACACGCTGGAGCAGATGCAGCTTCTGCGTCCCAAGAGTGGGGAGCGCAGTGTCATTCGTGTGGCACTTTCTTTGAGGATGAGGACATTAGCTCTTGCACCTCCAGTGAGGATGAAGGAATGGCAGAATCATACTCTGCGTTCAACGCGACTGATCCTCACATGGATGACGATGCCGTAGCATGCGAGCTGTATCATCAGTACCGTGTTGCCCGAAGAAAATGGCGAAGGTTTAGTGGCAAGCCTCCCCGAAGATATCGAAAGTTCAGTCACAAGCCCAAAGATTTTAGTCGCCTTAATAAGTCCCCATATGCCCGAACATATGCAGCATTCCTTCCGGCTTCCAGCTTTGCTGGCGGGAAGGGACAGTCCGGGTCTGGCAAGGGCAAAGGAAAAGGACGCGGCAATCCTAAAGGAAAGGACGGGAAGGTGCTGCGTTGCAATCGCTGCAACTCCGACCAGCATCTGTGGCGACAGTGTCCTTTGGTTACGCAAGGTGGCTCGGCTCATCATGTGTCGGCTCAGCCTGCGCTGACCTTGCACACCAGCTACGCAGGTTCCGGCCAATTTGCTGGCGCGCGTGAGGACTGGGGTGAAGAACGATCTTTACCTGGGGTCACATTTTCTTCACACTACATGTCGGCTGTGTCGCGTGCAAGCGGTAGTCGGACCGGAGTTGATGTAGAGCTGGAACGATTGTCGCAAGTGTCAAGCGTGAATAAACCTCACAAGCGTAGGGCCAGTGCGCTAAACAACGAGTCGAGCGAGCCTCCTAGTTGGGAGCCAGGGCAGCCTTCTCGCCCATCTTCAGTTCAGATCCGACCCGAGGACAGTGCAAGCCAGGTGTCTCTTGCTCCGAGTGTTCAGCGTCTGGTGCATGGTGCCCCTGAGCCTAAGCATCCCCCTCCAACACACAGGCCAAACGCAGGCCGAGATGAACAAGAGCGAGGGAAAGTGACTGTGCAGTTGCAGTCGCTGCTGTTTCCTTGGTGGGAGACTGATGATGTGACAGGCGACAGAGCAACGAGCAGCACCTCGCACGTGTATCATGAGCACACCCGTGTCAAGGGCAAGGTAGGACTTCTTGTGGATCCTGGAGCGCACGACAATCTGTGCGGAGCCGCCAGTATGGAACTGATGGCTGAGCAGCTGGGCTGTGAGACTCACTCCAGGCAGCTCGCGAAGCCGTTGAATGTGCAAGGAGTTGGAAAGGGTTCGCAGCAAGCCACCACCAGCCATGCCATTCGATTCCGGCTTCACACTGAAGAGTCAGGAGACATTCCGGGGTCTTTCAACACTCCCATTGTACCAGACAGCAACTTGCCGCCTTTGTTGGGGTTGAGATCATTAAGAAAGTCCAAGGCCATTCTTGACACTGACGGACGGAAACTCATCATCCCCGGTCCAGGTGGGATCCAAATGTCCATGAGTCCAGGCACAGTTGTGCTTCCCTTAGCTCTGAGTGAGAGTGGACATCTTATCTTGCCTGTGCATTCCGAACAGGGTTCTGCCATAGATCCTGTCAAGTCGCTTGATTTCGCATCGTCACGTGCTTGCGTAGCACCTGAACCAGATTCTCAGGGCAATGCAGCTGCCTGTGCCAGCGTGCCTCTTCAACGTTGAGTGCGGAGAAGCATAGGGCCGCAGTGCAGGCATGGGTCTTCTGTGATCAAGCAGGAATGCGTCAAAATATTCTGTCACAGATGGGTTTCCAGAGCACTCATTTCAGCCGTGATCTTCATTCTAAGCAGCAAGCAAGACACATTTTGAATTTGCAAGCCTCTCAGAGCCCAGCACTGGTATGGATCAGACTGGGAGGCACTGCGGCAGGTACAGGCAATAGGCATGACAGCCAACGTGCGCAACACCTGGCGCAAGTGGCAAATAACCAAATTACTCAAGGTGGTTTGTTAGTCTTGGAAGCAAATGTTCGTAGTTTGGTTTGGTCGCTTAGAGTAGTGCAAGAGTTGGTTGCAAATCTTTCAGTGACTGATCACAGTTGGTGCTGGCACGAAGCGCGGCTAAACTGGGTTGGGAATAAATGCAAAACTGTCATTCGCATCGCTTGTAACATTAAGCTGTTGGGGTCATTCGCATGTACTTGTGAAAATTCCCAAGACCACATCAGTTCAAAAGACCTTAATGTTGAAGATTGTCTTGGTCGCCAGCAGCGAGTTTTGCATTCCATCGTGCAGTGTGCCCTTCAAGCCAGTGGCTTGGGTGTGGAGCAGACCGCGTTGCACATGCAGCCCGAGTCAGCAGTCAGCAATTCTCACCACCCTAATAAGATAAACCTCAACCCGTATGGTTTAGCCCCTAAGAATGCCTTGACAGTGGCGCGTGCTGATGCAAGCAACGCTGCCTTGTCGGTGGACGTGCAAGAACCATTAGCATTTCATGACGTGCCGCCAGAGCCTGCAGGACACTTCCAAATCGGACAGCGAATGAAAGCAGTGCATCTGATGGAAGAACAGGCTGTGCGTTCCCTTTCCGAACAGGATTTTTCCTTCAAAACATGCCTTGTCATGCTGCGGTTGCTGCCGCGTGAACACCGCAACACACATCGGCAACCTGTGGAAATGGGTTCAGTTGTGGTGTTTGGCCTCTATAAGCGAGGAGCTGTTGTCGGCGTCACCACCGCCACTGAAGAGATGGCAAATCTCTGCCGCTATCTAAATGCCTTTGCCAAACATCACCACGCAAGTGGAACCTGGACTTCTATTTCTGTCAATCGCAATGCCAAATTTAAGCCGCACTGGGATTATGGGAACCTTAGTGGTACAGCGAATCAACTAATTGGTTTGGGTTCTTACAAAAATGGTCAGTTATGGGTGCAGTTACTAGAAGGTGAAATAGAGGGTTGTAAAGAGGTT